CCACTGAATTCACACTTCTCCCAGGCCATTGCTGTTGCTAACTTGTCAGTGCTCACTGCCATTTCCTGATGAGCAGAGAAGAGCTTTGCATTACAACAAAAGTCATGGCTAAATGGAGTAGATCTGATTATTTGAAGGCAACTTTTTTTGTACTTCAGATACTAATTTTCCTTTAATACACTATTACATCAGCTGCTTCCTGAAGATCCTACTGGAAGTTTGCAGAGGAGAGGTAGGGGTGATGAAGCCTTTGCCTGGAGTGGTGCAGTCAACCAGCAAGTGCAAGATCTAGTGCATGCTGCCATGTGAAGTCAGCAAGTCACTTTGGAGACTCCTGTTCACACCCAGGGTTAGATATGCTCTGAATTTCTGCCGGTCCAGGCTCCTGTGGGTTCCCAGGCAGAGGATCTGCACAGCCCAGCCTCAGGAGGCACAATCCAAGCAGGTGACAAATGGCGCTGAGCAGGGAAGCATCAGGCTGTCCTGTGGAGACAGACCTGGTGGCAGCTCTGTGCATGATCTGGCAAAACCTACCAGCTATGTCTGGCACCTCACTAACAAGGCAGGGGTTGGAGGACTTCACTCTTGGACTCGAGTGTCTAAATTCCACTGTAGCCTTGGCTTTAGAAATGCCAGCCCTTCTGGGCCAAGGTCCTTCCGTGACTCAGTTCAGAGCACATAAAGCAGAGAAAATAACAACCTCTCATCACACAGAAGGGCTGCAAAGAAGGAGTGTGAGATACTCTCTGGCACTTACATTACTTTTTCACAGTTAGGGCCCACGGCAAAGGGGGGATTGTACAGCAAAGCAACTCAAGTTACCCAATTAACTGCTGTAGGAATTAATATTCCAAACATCGCTGAAAGCCTCGTGCAAGCTCCTTTGAAAATCCCAGACATAGCTGGAATTCTCTTCTAAGAGCAAATTAAATGGGCAGCTAAGAGGTATGAAGACTGCAAATTGATTTTTGCACTTGCATGCAGCCTTTTGGATTACCTGTACTCTCTTAATGTGATCCAGACTTACGCATCCCATTTCCCCTCCCCCCTTTCCACATTTGCTGCCAGCTTACTACCCTAATTTGTACTCTGACACATCTACTTTATGTCCTCCTCACCACTTCTGGGTCACTTTACAGAATAAAGCCTTTGAAATCCAGAGTCCTCGTTTTGACCAGTTATAGTCACAACTTCTGCTGCACGTGAACATCTCATGAATTCTCATGTGTCTTCTCCCTCATTGCCAAGGGCAAGGTTAAAGATAATATTTCATGGCTTAAGTGGCCTTATAAAATGTTCATGGGCAAATGGTAACATACTCATCTTTCCAAACTACATTTTTTATCAAGGCAATCACATAAACAAAAAAATCATCTCAGTTAATTTTCAAGCAATATATCCTGTACCTTTAAACAGCTTTTATCTCAGGGTGGGCCAGCTGGGTTATCTGGATGGAGAACCTGCTTGTTACATATAGGAAAAGTCAAAACACTTCATAGTTCTCAAACATTTGAGGGCATTAAGTCAATTTACCATTGGTGAACCGAAAGCAAAAGCAACACTGCATTTCAAAAGAGCTTCTTCTGGAAGCATGAAAACCAACAGGAAATTAATAAAACTAGGCTTCAAAAATGGAACAAGTGGAAAATTAATGGCCATAAAACCTGCCAGTTCCAGGTGAGGAGGATACAGGGTCTGAGTCCAAGTCAGGCAGCTAACTGCTCATTTTATGATCTTGCTCCTCAGCCAACAGTAAAATAATAAGGGGGAGGGAAGGTCATGGCAGCAACAGGGGCAATAAAAAAGGAAGAGCTATCATGCAGCTTCTCCAAAACCTTGATCACAGCCATGTTCCCTCCTGTGCTTATCAGACAATAGTACAATAGTATCTTTACCAGCACAGCATTTATTCCAGGTTAGCTGTCAGCATTTGTAGCTGTGATTTGGCACATCTCTGGATCTGAATTTTTCCCTTAATTATTCCTTAATAGGAGCAGCTTTGGCTCTTCTTACTTCCAGTATAAGCAAGGTTGTCCAGACCTCACAAATCAAGAACAGTTTGTTTGTCCCAGAACAAAGTGATGAAGTAGCAGTGAGGTGCAGCTCTGTGAAAGCTTTTAAAGGTAAAAGCAAGGGGGCTGGATTGCTGAGAGGTTTTGGTAGCTGTCCAAAGGGAAGTGCTCTGCCACCCTTGGATATCTGTCTGGCAGGGCTGCAACTGGGGACACTGCAAGCAGCTTCTGCCCGGCATGTCATGTGAAGAACAACAATAAAACCTCTCCCCTGAAACAGTATGAGAGTTAAGAAAATAATTCATATTACTGCATTTCACAAGAGATGTGAATATGGTACGTTTTGAACAACAAATATCTTGCCCACTATACAAAGGTAGTAGAGAATAAGCCAGTGTGAGTTAATAAATGTATCCATACAACCTGTGGTTAACACTGCAGTTTAATTACAGCTGGGCTTAATGATGTGCCTCCCACTACAAATGTGCTCCATGGCTTCACCTGGTGTAAATTCACATCAGCACCAGAGCAGGCAGGCAAGTGCAGATCAAGCTAAAGGTGTGCTCTGCTTCATTTCTGCTTATAGTATTTCATATGCAAAGAAACTATTCTAATGTTACTTCACATAAAAAACTACAACTGAGGAGCAAATACTCAGGGTCAAGACCTTCTGCTGCAGAGTGAGATTCCTCCAGATATATGCAGATGGGCAAAATACAATTTAAATTCTGCTTTACAACTTGGTGACTTCCAGAGATACTTTTGCCAAGTGGTAATTCCAGCTTCTATGTTACATGCACAGATCTGAGCAAATAAAGTCCTCACCAGAACCTCCCATCTCTGGATTTCAGTGAGAACACCTGTATGGTGTTCTGTAGGACCTAGGAAATGCACAAAGTACCTTGTTTGATGTTTAACACCAATTGGTTTTAAAACCTACATACAATTGAATGGTTTCCACACTGAAAAGTATTTTCCCTTCTTGCTTAAAAATTCTGCTTTTGGCTGGGTATGTTGCCCTTTGCTCTATCAGTAAGATCATGCATTTTCTCCTCAAGGCAAACCTGACAAACCAGCCAGTTGGATCACTACCCAACAACCAGCATTATTTTGGATTCATAATTAGAAATGCCAGCAAGTTAGGTCTATAGATGGACACAGTGACTGTTGCAGGGCATCTGATTCAGGCCTCCAGGAGCATGAAGCAGTGCTCAACAGATCTCTCCAGTTGTCTGATTAGCAAAACCCCACAACTCAATCCTACCCAAACACAGCAGAATGACAAACCCAGTGCAGAATTTTTAGAAACACAAGAAAAAACCCCAATTATTTGCTTTGGTGAATCTACACAGTGGCAGACCACTTCCAGAAACATTCATGGAAAAAAAAAAAGTTTAAAACATTTGTCAATACTGTCATTTATATATAAAGTTCACATCTTTCAGGGTTGTTGGTAAAAACAAGAACAACCTGATCCAATGTTCCATCCCTGCTGTGGCACTCACTCAGCCAGAGAAATTGAAGGAAATTGAGAAAGTCATTTCAATCTAGCCAGTTATCCACAGAACTATACTTTATATACAGTTTATTTCACTAGAGATTTTCATTTTATACACAGTATAAAGGGGTATCCTGATATCACACATATAGTTATTTTACCGTACTGTTTAAGAACCAATTTTTTACAGAATACAGTATTAAGTACCATATTAATTCAAACAAATTATTTTTCTTTTAAAAAACCCTACATATAAATGGATGTTTATCATATGCACAGTGCAAGAATGGTTTTATATCACCGTAATCACAAAATGTGAATCTAAAATACAACACTGATTTCAAACTAATTCATAATTATGATGCCCTGTGATTAATCTGTTTGACTTACCAAGCAATGTTAAATTCCAGACAAACAGCAGCAGCTTAAAATCATGATTTCAGCAAGATGCCTTCCACAGTAACCCAAGTTTTACAAAACACTGGTTTATCCCTACTTCTGATCTCAACAGTGTCCTATTGAAACAGAAGAATGGCACAGATTTCATTTGAAATTACCTGGTCACTAATGCTAAATAAATTCCTTTATTACTTCCACACAGGAAACCTTTAGGGATGATCAAAGAGGTAAAGGTGGAGAGGTTGGTGGGCAGAATTCTCAGAATTTTAGTTGCCTAGTACAGGGTTTCTCCTCTGCAGATAGGAAGAAAATACTGTGATATAAATCAGGTTGTAATATTTACAGAAAACAATTGAGGAAAAGAAAGTATTCAGAATGTAAACACGTCAGAAAGGACTTCTTCATTTTCCCTTTTGCAGAGTGGGGCAGTGGATGAGTATGGTCTAATAAGAAACAGATGTCTTCCTCAGAAGAACCACTTCACCATCACAGAGTGTATGTGGTAGTTGTTGAGCATTGCTAACATGTTTTCTCCCTTCCCTCCCCCCCCAAGAGTTTCAAGTTCAATAAATAGTAGAAAAATAATCCTTTACTTAAAAATCTGGAGATGCATTGTCCCAGGTTCCACACGGCAACGTGTCGGAGCAGTGAGCTTTGTACGTGCGAAACAAACTGCAGGGAAACCAGCAGCCTTTCCCCCCCTGCCAGATCCTCTGTCTGGCACTTTTTTAGTCTTCAGCTGCAGATTTCTGCTCTTCCAGTTAAGGAAACTAAATCACCTCTGGCTCTTAAATTCGCTCTCTCCTCTTGGCTCAGTGTAACAGGGCTTCCAAAGCGTCAGCTGCTGTATAAACTCACATCCCTGTTTTTGGAGGTCTAACGTGCCTCCTGCTCCATTTTATTAAATGTTATGGCAGGTCCATTCATCAAGCCCATTTCCCTTCCATTTCAAAGCCAACCTTACATTTCTAAAAATGTAAAGCTTTTGTGCCTAACAGTTTACTCAGGAAGTTAAATGGTTCCTAGGGAAGAGCAGAGAAACAAAGCTGCCCGTGGCCACGCGGATGGTTGTTTGCAAGCGACATTTCTGGTGTCGTTGTTCATTAGCATTCTGCATCCACAGTGTGTACCGTGACTGCAGCCTGTAAGTGGTGGCTGTGGTGAAGAGTTGGGTGGTGCAACCTGTAGTGGTGAAACTTGTGACTCAACAGGGCAGCTGTCTGAGGCGGCGTGTCCAGGTCTAAGTCTTCGTCGTGGTTCCCAATGTCAACGCTGGCCGACAAGGGGTCATTATTGCAGGGCGGGTTTTCGCTGTCTTCTTGAGGACTCATAGTGCTGTAGCCTAGAGAATCATTCAGCACAGGACAAAAAGTTAAAAGCAAGACTAGAAATCAATATTCCACAGGGCTGGCTGCTGCCCCTTCATGGAATCAGACAGTCAGTGCTTTGCAGCAAAGGAAACAACCAATTTTCTGGAACTATTAGAAAATGAAAAGCAAACAAGTCCATCCTCTTCTGTAGGTTCATAATGGATCCCTTTCCCTGTCACTGTCCTTGTTTATAAACTTTGGAGACCCTTGGTTTGTCCCACCCCAAACAGTAACAAACAATGACACATTCAACAGTTTGTTACAGCAGAACTGCTGGCACCAATTTAAAAACCAAAACATAGCAGATTGTTTTGAAGGGTGGTAACTTTTCAACTATCACTTGGATTTTTTGCAAACCAACAAGAAACAGGCAGGATCCACTACCTTCTCCTCTATTCCTACAAACTCCATCTTTCTTAGTAAGGGTTGCCAGGAGTTTCTCTGGAAACTGCAGAAGTTCTCCACGTCATTTTGTATAGCAACACTTTATATTTTTAAAAAGAAGAGGCCACTTCTCAGCTGAGAGGGTCTGTTTGTAAAAGCCAAACAGCTGTTTTTAATGCTGGGGAGCTTTCCATGGAGTTAAAGACATCTATTGAATCCACCAGGGAAGCGTTTCACACAGCAGGTCCTTCAGCCAGGCAATGCTGACACTTCAGCTAAGCACATGCAGTGAACTCAAGGCTTTCCTTTGGCTAAAATATCTACTACTGAGTCTGAGAAGTTAAAAACCCAGATCAGCCATCCATGGGAGTCATGAGATGTCACATTCCCGGGAATATCCTAAGGAAATTATGTCACCAGAAAACCAGCTCACAGCTAGCCCTTGCAACAAGGTCGTTCTTGCTCAGTGAGGAACCTGCCTCCTAACACATCCCTCAGAGATCTTCTGTCCCTTTCTTTTGGACCAGGTGATAGCAGTTACTGGGAGATTGAGATTTGCCACTGAAAACCAGCTGTTACCCCTCAAAACCAATTGGCAGCACAAACAACACCACCTGGGTATTTCTGAATGCAAACCTACAACATTTAAAAGGAAAAAGATCTTGCTTTACTTAGAAAAATTATCCAAAAACTGTGGCTGAGAGCTGAAAACCCACTAGTGCTTCTGAGCATCTCTGTCAGGTTTTCAGCTGGAGACAACTAAAAGAAGAGTGCTAAAAATACCAGGCTAAGTACCCAAAGCTGCTCTCATTTCCCATGCTCCAAGTCATGGTTTCTAGCTGGCAGAGAGGAACTGGGGGAGACGACTGGGCAGCCTTTTGAAGAAGATGGAATTACAGAAACTAAAAATAGACACACTTCAGAAATGGGTAGACAGCTCCCCTGCTAACCCTGACATGTTGACTAGAAAGATGGGAAGGATTTGCTAGGAGTGCAAGAAATAGAGCAAAAGGAGCACTAGTCTAGCAAATCTGCCTCAGCACAGGTAATCTTCTCCCAAATCCAGGGTAATTCCTCCTAGAGCAAGATTGTCCCTCAGACATCTGTTCACCTGCCTTCCCAGGCTTTGGCCTTCAGAAGTCTTGTCCCTCAGCAATTGCATTAGTGCAACCACTGTCTTAATAATTGAACAGGCCGTAACATACCCAGGCAGCTCGAGCTGACATCTGTGGCAGACTGCTTTGTCCAACCCTCCTCTTAATTTACATTGAGCCCCTCATGAGCCAACACCATGACACCCGTCCCACAGCTTACATGAGTTAAGACAACTTAGTCTCAGGGCATAAGAGTCTTGTCAGAATTCCCTGACTCAAACCAGGGTTCAAGTATGTTTGGAGGGCAAACGCCCATGGCTGAATAGGTGACATAAGATGCCCTCTGTGATGATGGTATGTACTGAGTGTGCAAGGGAAAGGCTAAGGAGGCCCCTGACTCTTTGGTGTCTAAATCCAAGCTTATTTTACCCCAGCAAATGCAGGTGTCCAGCAGACGTTGCTAGAATACTGTGAAAGCTGTGCTTGTCATGGCAGAGAGGAGAGCCACGGAGACGCTAACCTCACTGCAAGGGATTTCCTTTCCCTTGTTAAATAGGAGAGGTCCATTATCTCCACTGAACATCTGGGTTGTTAGGGCTGTTGGTGGAAAAACAGCGTGGTAACCACAGTACTGTTTCTGTTGGCCTGAACATGGGTGACCCAGTGAAGCTGGCAGAACCCACCATCAGCCAGGGAGAGCCCAGCACTGGCTGCTGCTCCACCGCTCTGACACCACCAGCTCCCTGGCAGGACAGCGTCACCTCCTCAAGGCTGCCCAAGCTGTTTAACCGCGAAGCAACAAGGAGCAAAGGCCTTTGGCTTTGCTTTCGGCAGCCGTATCTGCAACGTGCCAGGGATCTGAAGGCAACCCAATAACCACAAAGATGAAGGTGGGGCCCGGGCAGGGACTCAAGGTCTTACCGTGGTCGCTCTCGGTTCCCGAGCGCCCCCAGTAGCGGCGGCGGCGCTCGGGGCTGTGTGCGTGCCGCTCGATCACCGCCGCGATGAACCGCGTGTTGCTGACTGCGGGAGAGAAGAAACAGGGCTGGGCTGAAACACAGGGCTTCTCCTCCAGGAAATCAGTACAGGGGAACAGGCTTTCTGCAAACTAGTGCTTCTCAAATACCACTTCTTTTAAGATGGCTGTGACAGAGGAGGAGGAGTCAAGAGGTGGTGTTGCAATGTGGAACAGATCAAGGTCCATTCAAACTCATTCACTTCATCTGCTTGGATTAAGAGAAGTTAGAGGATTGCTGTGCCAATGCTAAGGAACCTGTGGCAACACTGAAGGCCAACCCAAACCGAAACTAAGAAGGACTTGGAGAAGCAGTAGATGCAAGCCATGAAACTCAGATACGCTTATTTTTCAATCTTTGAGTGTTGACACAGTTTCAAATCTCGGGTATTGTTTTAGTTCTGGTTTAGTGAGGGCCCAGAGACAGGGACCTGGCTCTGGGCCTCTCCCAGAGTTCAGGTGCGCCAGCTCTTCTCACAGTACAGCAGAATCACATGCAAAGAGCTATTTTTCCAGAACAGTGAAGAAGTCCAAGCATCCCAAATCAATGCATGGAAGATTCACTGCCATGCTTCTTGAACATACGTGCCGGACTTGGCCTCTCCTTTCCAAGGCTGACCCATGGTAGGGGTTTTCCTGTGCTGTCACAATTGCATTTTTTCAGCTGATCAGAGCTATTTGTGGAAGTGGTCATGCTGGGGGGAGGTAAGGGGCAAATCTCCTCCACACATCCAGATTTGTCTTTTAAAAGTAAAACATGTAACTTTTCAGCATGAGAATAAAGGCGCACTGGGATTTTCCATCAATTAAAACACTGCTCTGCCATTTTGCACTGCTCATCAGCACAGGGCTTCCTTGGGGAATTTTTAATTCTAGCATATTAAGAAAACAAATAGCTCATTTACTCTCAAGCTAAGATTTTTTTACAGCGAAGTGATTTGGTACTTACTGATCCCTCTATCTTCATGGCTGTCATCGTCTCTCTCGTCCCTATCATTTTCCAGGTTCGACATACGCACTGACATTTCTACACACCATTACAAACAGAAAAATGCAACTGTTAAAGAGAAAAATTTTGGATCATCTTACTAAGGGCTGTCCACCCTGGTAACTCAGCGGAAGCACTTTGTTACTGTGTGAAGAGATGCAGGCTGAGCTTGGGGGGGAGTCTTTTCGAAGACAGATGAGTCTAGGGATAGTAGGAAAACACACGCCCTACAGCCTTGACAAGACCAGGCTTTAAAGCAAGTGAACTGGTTCACAATAGAGGTCGGGTATAATCAAATACAGAGGTAATTAGCCCTGATCACACTTCTCACCTCTGTGTCTTTCTAGCTGTGTCCCTTCTGCCAAACACAGAATCACAGAATGTCTGCAGCTGAAAGGGACCTCCGAAGGTCATTGAGTCCAACCCCCCAAGTCAGAGGACCAAAACTAGGGCAGATCACTCACTTTTGTCTAAGAGTCCAGAGGCTTTATCCATGTATACATATCCTATGAACACCACATGGATCAGAAGCAGGGAACACAAGTAAGAACAGACATGTCCCAAACAGCCCAAGCAGCAGGGGTGTGAAAGCCACAACAAACGTGTAGGATGCTGTGGTATGACAAGGTCCCAAGGCTGGGAGCTGAGCTAATCGTGTGCATATCAAAGTTCTTGGGCAAACTCTTTTCGGGCAGCAGCAGGTCCGGCTGTGCCCAGGAGAGGGCAGCAACACACAAGAACCCTGGACGAGACCTGACTTCAGAAGGTTGGCAAAAGGTAAATAAAGTGGGCTGAAGCCTTGAAACAAAAGCAAGGAAAGAAGTTCTGGGTCTTTTTTATTGGTTGGTTTGGTTTTGTAGGTTTGATTTGTTCTGGTTTGTTCTTAACTCCCACCATCCTATTTTTCTCAAGAGTTATCAGCTCACCCTGGGCAGCCAAAGGTGACATGTGCTGGTGGCTCCTCCGGTGGATCTGGTGGCGATAGGCGTACACGGCCAGGACAAGCACCATAATGCAGCCCATAATGCCTCCAGCCACTGGGCCCACAGGGGCACTTTTGATCATGTTCAGAGTGATTACTTCATCTCCTAAATCAAAAGGGACAAAACAGAGGAAAAAAACCCAACACATTAATGCTCTTCATAAAGGTTTAAATCAACATCTCTGAAGATCTTGAAGACAAGACAAGATCTTGAAGGCTCTTCTAGGTGCTGAACAGTACACACAATATAGCACACTTTAAAAAGGAAAAGACATTCAGAGATAAAGACACTAAGACCTTAAGACAGAAATCCTGTCTTAAGGACAGGACTGTGTAGCTACACTCAGCTACACATCAGTGTTTTAAAAAATATAATGCTCACAACAGGCTTGGTGCTTCTTCTTCCCTGCCTGATGCAGTATTTATGCTGATTTACCAGCATTATAAGAGAGAAACGTGTTTTGTGAAGCATGCTCTGACACTCAGTGTGCCTCTTATTGACTACAAACATGTACATGCAGCATCTGGTTGGAAAGGCAGAGTTACCTATTGCTCCCAAGTCGTCCACATAGGGGCTCTTTGCTCCCACAATGCCACCAAAGCATTCCTTCTGAGGGGCACAATAGGACTTATCCAGATGGGTCTTCCCATCGCTGTCTACCATGCACCACTCACAGTCCAATACACCAAAGCAATCCCTGAAAATCAAAACCAAAAGGAGACCATATTTACTTTCAAGTTCAACACTCCTCATTTGGCACAGCTCCGGCTGCTAGTGAGGCAAAGGGAGGCCAAAATCATCTGCAAACCCTCACACGCAGAATGTTTGGCCACAAAAACCTTCTCATTAAAAAGCTTAAATGCCACAAGGGATGTTACCAAGGAAACTGCATCTTCAGCATGCACCTTCCAAGCCTGTCTGCTTTGTTTTTTCCCTCCAACAGAGCCCGAGCAAAGGAAGAACTTCCTACTTTTAACTCCTCCAGTAAGACATTTCTCAGCACAGTGAAGTCTGACTACAGCTCCACCCTTTTGGAAGATGGAAGTAAGGGTTTGGAGAGTGTGCTCAGAGCACAAGATGTTCTAGCAGTCTCAGTTCCCTGGAGACCTCTTATAACTAGTGAAAAATAAATAAGGCCTCAGGCTTCGCTACACAACCCAGGAGCAGAAGAGAGCAGCAGGCAACCAGCAGCTATCACCTCAAACGTGCTCCACAGCCCCCACCATGAGAGAACAGTCTGCTTTCAGTGAACACTTGAGTCCACACACTCCTGCAGATAACAAACACAGCAAAACTATCCAGTTTGCCAGAAAGGAGAATTTGTTGTACTTTCAACAGCAGATCTTCCACTTGCACAGCCCTCGGTTCCCAGTCCCACAGTGAGACAGGAAAGCCATTTCTTTGCTATTAATCAGAGTCACAGACTGGTTTGCATTGGGAAAGACCTTAAAGCTCATCTAGTTCCAATCCCTGTGTGGGCAGGGATACCTCCCACTAGACCAGGCTGCTCCAAGCCCCATCCAACCTGTCCTTCAACACTTCCAGGGACGGAGCATCCACAACTTCCCGGGGCAACCTGGGCCAGGGTCTCATCACCCTCATAGCAAAGAATCTCTCCTTAAGATCTCATCTCAATTTCCCCTCTTTCAGTTTAAAACCCTGGTGTTCTGGGACTCAAACAAGAATACTGAGTTCTTGTTTCTGCACTGCAGCCTAATGCCATCACTGGTGTGTGCTGTAATGCCTCATTCTGGCATAAGTTGTTTTTTCTTCTCTTTTCTTAAACTGTGCATGAAGACCAACTTTCCCCTAAGTGTTTCAAGAACACAGTCTATTCTGGGGGAGGCAGAAGGGCCCCTTACCCGCTCTCTGTTCTCTGGTTGCACTGAGTGTTGATGCACTGGGGCAGAGCATCCTGGAGACTTGGATCAATCGCTGTGAAGGTCATGGGCTCCTGGTGGACTTCACAGCTTGGGTTCCTGTATGGTGGCAGAAAGTCAAGCCTTACATTAAAATAGTCAAAGCATGATCACAGAATGTTAGGAGTTGGAAGGGACCTCTGGAGATCATCGAGTCCAACCTCCCTGCCACAGCAGGACCAAATCCAGGGCAGGTTGCTCAGAAACACATCCAGATGGGTCCTGAAAGTGTCCAGAGAAGGAGACTCCAGAACCTCTCCGGGGAGCCTGTTCCATTGCTCTGTAACCCTTGCAGTAAAGAAGTTCTTCCTCACATGGAGGTGAAACTTCCTGTGCTCGAGTTTGAATCCACTGCCCCTTGTCCTATCACAGGACATAAGTGAAAAGAGGTTGTCCCTTCCTTCTTGACACCCAGCCCCCATAAAACCCACCATTTTACTTATTACAGAGCATCTGTTCAATTATACTAAAATCCTGTCCATTCTATCTGGTAAGTTAGCATGATCAAAGGATGAATTCGGATGATTAGCTTGTGTCAGGTGCTGCCCATGAGGAGGTTGGGTCTCACCTGCTCTCGGCGTTGGTGAGGTTGCCGGTGCATTCATTCACCTCCAGAGGGCACTCGCAGGGACACTCACACTCGTTCTGCTCCATCCTGCAGGGGCACGAAACACACCAAAAAACCACATCAGAGGTTCCACCCCCATGTTAAGCCCAGCGCGCAGGACCCAGGGAGGAGGCTGCTCAGTAACCTTTCTCCTTCCCCCAGGAACACCGGGATTGTTTCTGTTCTGCACTAGGGCTGAGGACCATGTATTCATGGAGCCTCTTTCATCCCTTTCCCACCCGTGGAAGTTTCAAAAGCAGACAACCCCTGGATGAGTCCCAGACCTAACTGATGCTGGTGGAGTCATCTCCAGCAAGCAGGAGGAACCCCTCGATGGAAAACTGACAATCCACATAAAATCCTGAGTCTTAACATGCCAGAACAAAGGCCCTGATCCACAGACAGTTACTCTGAGAAACCAAATCGGTCACAGTCTTTATTTCACATTATCTACCCAAAATGTACAAAAGCATCAAGAACAAACCACCCCATGTTTAAATAAGCTGACATTATGGCAAAGGATTAGAATCCCCAGCTGGTTTGGGTTGGAAGGGACCTTAAAGATCCTCTAGTTCCAACCCCCCTGCATGGGCAGGGACACCTCCCAGCAGCCCAGGCTGCTCCAAGCCCCATCCAACCTGCCCTTCAACACTTCCAGGGATTGGGCATCCCAAGCTTCCCTGGGTAAGAAGCAGAGGCATTCCAAGTCACCATGCTCCTTACAAACAGCACAGGTCCAGGAACCATTTTGTTTTCACTTCAGCTTTGTACCACATGTTTTTCATTTAGCTTATAAAATCAATGTGTTTTTTTCTAAACCTTGAATCAAGAACAAACCACAGAATCCACGAGGGGAGAAGCAGATGGCTGGATGAGGCCCTTCCCTCCTGCCCTCCCTCTCACCTGTGGCAGTTGAGGCACAGCCTGTCCACCATACTGCAGGCACAGAAGGCCAGGGAATCACAGGTCTCGTTGACGATTCCCACGAAGGCGTTGGTGCCTGGGATTCTTGTCAGCCTGTACTTGGAGCAGTGGCTGCCGTGCACAAGGTTTGTCAGATCACCCTAGGGAAAAAACAGGTAGAGTTAAGGGTGTAGTAAGAAACCTGTTTTTAGCGAGTTGAAGACCTTCTTCCTTCCAAGGAAAGGCACAGAGGTGAGGGAACACTAATGCACGGGAGTGCTGCCTTCACAAATAGCAGAAAATTCATCAACCTGTTGAGTTTTGCTTCCAAGCTACTGCTGAGTGGAAAGAATTTGCTGAGGACAGATACAAATACACTTCACTTGTAAAAATGCAGAGATGGGGCAGCACGTTGAGTCTGGCATCCCACCAAGAGCAGGTTGCATTTCCCTCCATCTCATCACTCGCTGACCCGTCCCTGCTGTGCCAGGCACCAGGGACCTCCCAGAGTGGTCAGGGTTGGAAGGGACCTCTGAAGCTCATCTAGTCCAACCCTCCTGCTAGAGCAGGATCACCTACAGCAAATCTCACAGGAACATGTCCAGATGGGTTTTGAATGTCTCCAGAGGAGGACACTCTACAACCTATCTGGGCAGCCTGTTCTTTCTCTGTTACTCTCACCAGTAAGAAGTTGTTCCTTATGTTTAGCTTGAACCCCCCTGTGCTCCAGCTGGTGCCCACTGCTCCTTGTCCTGTCACTGGACACTGAGGAAAAGAGACTAGACCCATCCTCCTGACACCCCTTCAGATATTTATAAGCATTTATGAGCAAAGAGGCTCCACTCTGATGGGGAGGCACCACCACAACTTGCTGAAAACCTCCTGGCACATCTACTCTAAAAAACCCCACACCACAGCAGTGTAGAGCTGGGATCTGCTTGGTAGGCAGGTCACTCCTGATCCCTATCTGCACAGCACAGTCCTGAGTTTTTGCTCTGTCTTGTACAATTTCACTTCCAGTAACACACTTGCAATTTTGCATTCCAAGTGTGGGCAAAGTGTTTTAGCCCACCTTGACATACACCAACATATTCTCACATAACTTCCAAATATTTTTGACACTCATTTCCCACCTTCTCCTCCCAATAAGAATTGAGAAGTGTAATATAACGAGCAGCTTCTCCCACAGAGCTTAACCTCTTCTGAATAATTCCACACTGATCTTGCAGGGGTGGATGTGTGGCACTGCAATTGGCATTCATGGCACAGAGAAATGACAGCCCCTGGCTTAGAACTCTGTGTACATGAGGAAGTTCACAGAGGCCCAGTGGGGACCACAGAGCATTCACATCTCCAAAGGCTGCAGTTTGACAAATGATACACTGTAAATGCTCAAGTTGCATCAATAAATGCATTTATTCAGCCACCTCCCTACATTTTTGGAGACTTTTACTACCCATGTCACAGAAGGATGTGATACTGGTCAGAGTTGGAAGCCAGAGGTCAGGACCCTAAGCAAAAAATCCCAACTACTACTGGGAACTCCTCACCCAGCAACCGAGAACTTGCCTTCCTGATGCCAGATGAGACTTTGCAGACATCAACCACACTTGGCCACCGACCATATCCATAATCCCTTGTATGTCAACTGACTCCTTGTGGGAGCCCAGTTTGTGCAACCCAGGTCACCGACTGTGTGTCTGGTGTGGGTGAACATTGGCCAATCCACACAGAAGGTTGGATTCCAGCCTCCTCTGCTGATCCTGGCGAGGATTCGTGTTCCACCAAAAGAAACCCAACCCAACCAAAGTACATTCAAAAGCAAAATAAAATATAAAAACATACTTACCACTAAGCTGGTATTAAATTTGTAAAACCGCTGAACTGTTCTGTCACTGAAGCTGTTGCAGAGGTTTTTCTTGACAAAGTTTGGGTGGTTCAGAATGTCATTTGCTACCAAAGGCTCCTAAGTGAAAAAAAGGAGGATTTTATGCCTTTGAAATCACAGACAGACAACAGCTTCTCTACAGTCATTGCCACCTCAGGAGTTTAAAAAGGCAGGAATGAGGAAAGGAAAAGGGGGCCAAACCTTGTGTGTAATGTGCTGCTGCTCCACCGGTGCGTGTCCTTTGGGATCAATGAGGGTTGGGTGTGCCACAAGGTACCCTCTGTCCTCCATGATGAAGCACCTGCCACCACAAACAAAGCCAAGAGCCTCCCATTAGACACCCCTGGGCTTTGGAGAAATAGAATCATCAGAATCCCAGAAGGTTTATGTGGAAAGGGACCTTAAAGCTCATCTAGTTCCAACCCCCTGCATGGGCAGGGACACCTCCCACCAGCCCAGGCTGCTCCAAGCCCCATCCAACCTGCCCTTCAACACTTCCAGGGATGGGGCAGCCACAACTTCTCTGGGCAGCCTGGGCCAGTGTCAGAATATAGCAAAACATGGCAAAATAAAACACAATATTCAATGTACAGCTAGAGGAAGCATTTTTAAAGGCTTCTGTTTATTCAAATAACAGGGCCATTAAACAATTTCACTGCAAAACATCTTTAAAATTATATTGGGTGTTTCCCTGAAGCTTTTAGATCTGTTACTGTTACAGCAAGCCTGGGCCATCAAGAACTTGAAAACAGAACTGATTAGAGACAGAAAGGAAAACTTATCAGTGTGTTGCCTTGTCTGATCAGAGAAGATCCAGAAATAAATGAAGCATAATGAAACTTGGAAAGTTTTACCAGTTTATTCATCTTCCATGTTACTAATTAAACAGAGATTTCACACTCTCCTTTAATGATCTCCTGCCTTAGAATGCAATTTGAAGAGGGAGATAACTCCCTCTTCTTGCACTCGCAGCCTTCCCAACCTTTTCCTTTTCAGTTCTTCCCATTTGTTTCCCATGTAATGTCAGGGAAGGATGTGGGATCTGTGCCCCTACCTAGAAACCAGGGTGCTGCAAGGTTCTAATCCATGAGGGATGAGTGCAGGACAGATGGGACTGTGCACTTTAGGCACAAAAAGGAGTTATGAAAAGTTTTTGTTAGGCTTCTTTTTACTGTCCCAAATTGTTTGAGTTTTGTAGTAGAAAAATCATAGTGATGCTGCATTTTCTCTTTTTCCTGGAAGATGCTATGGGCAACAGGAGAACTAGTAGTGGCTACTCCAGAATTACTACAGAGAGAAAAACCTTTGCAGAAACACATTTAAAAAAAGCTCAATTTCCTGCCAGATGGTTAGAATAGTTCTCTGTACCTGTGTGCAGGGATGCAGAGGTTGTGAGCACTGGATCCAGCTCCTACATTAGAATGGTCTAACAAAGCATTTAAGAATATGCTTGAAATTCCTCATTCAGGGAATGAAGAAACAGAATGAAGCATCTGACCCTGTTGATTATTAATAGTTTGTAACTAGGGGAGAAGGGATGCCAAACCAGAAATCCTGGTGTTTGGGTTTTTTTCTACACTGTAAAATATATGTAAAAAAACCACCCAAACCAAATGAGAAAAAAATGGGAGGATGACAAAAAAAACCACTTCCCTTTCCAAATCCAAGGTTTAAAAACAAAGACAGAAACAACAACAATGCCCAAACCATGTTATCAAGTTACTCCAGATCCAAACTAGAATCTACCCCTGCCCCCCCTGTGATTTTTCAAAAAAAGGGTAAAGAGGAACAGTTAAGACACAAGGTCTAAATAAAATTATATACTCCAGAAGAAATCTGGCTTCTTCTGACTAATGCTGTGCTATCTATTTCTGAGAAAAAGAGTATACTTTAATCATCATAGTTAAAATAAGTAGAGATAATGTATCATCATTACAGGCTCACAGTAACTAAAGTAAAATGAAAACAAATGGAAGAGAATGGGAAGTGTATTCATTTAATAAAATTATTTTTGTCCAGGATTTCAGTGAAGTCTTAATGTAACAACAACACAAAATTAGCTATCTTCTGTTTCTGTATTCCTGCAGACTGTTTACTTAGCTGATGACAGTTTGATCCTGAATAACACAAAAGTCCACATAATCTCTATGAGAAGAACAAGCACAATTTTTAGTGGAAATCAGAGAGCAAGCATTGAAAGGAAGAGAATCTTAGAATAAGCTAAGTTGGAAAGTACCTCTGGGTCATCTGGTTAAAGGTAAAAAAGCAGGCTTTAGGTATTTCTTGCCTGGAAGGAAGAGCTTACCTTATTTTGTTTCCTCCATCTTGGTTACAAACAGGCAGCAGGTCCATGAGAACTTTGTAGAAGTATCTCAGGGTGAAGTCAATGCCCATGACTGCCACTGAATGTCCTGAGGACATCTGTGCACTGCAAAAAGGGGAAAAAGGAAAAAGGCTTTGACAGCTGTATGCATAATTAATATTTTAATTACTCAATTCCCTAATTGAACAGGGGACTGGCTTCCTTGGCATAGAAAGGACCAGCTCAACTCCACACCTCCACACTGCAGGTCACCTCTGCGCATTCAAGTGAACAGTTCTAGCAGCTGTGAATGGAGAGAACTGGGTCCTAACAGAGTGAGTTCTTTGGTGGACATCCCAAAGTCCCTTCACTGAAATTGCACCTCATACAACCAAAATGAGGAGGCAGAAGGCCTGCATCACACCCAGGAAAAGACCCCAGGGTTTCCCTCAGCCCTCACATACACTTCTGCCACCTACAGACAGTTAATGTTTAGTGCCATAAGTTAGGATTCAGAATTCCCCACCCACAAAAAGAAACACAGGACACAACTCCTAACTTCTACCACCAAAACCCCCACCACCTCCATGGATTTTCACATGCTGCTCAGTCCCCAGCATTAGCACATGTATGTGAAGCTGCCACAGATACTTTGCTAAATCCCTGAAATTCCAAAGTGTAGGAGTGATTATGAATTTCAGCCAGAAGAAAAAAGCTGGCCAGGGTGGCAACATGAGTGAGTTAAATGCCTCAAATCGCATCCTACTAGCAGGCCACTGCCAGCTGGAATTAAACAGGAGTACCTCCCATTAACCTGACCCTGCCTGGGGACTGCCAGGTGACAGTTCAACCCATATAACTTAGCAAAACATTCCAATTCAGTATTTATCCCCAGTGTAGGGCAACCATAAAATAAAAGACTCAGGGAAAGGGCAGGCCCTGGAGCCTCTGGATGCTCACCAGCCCTGGCAGCAGGAGCTGCTGTAAATTGTAATATTTCACCCATCCTGAGAAGGTGCTTATGTTTCTATTTTTACCCACCAGTTTGGGAATGCACATGGTTGCCTTAACAACTGAGATATCGAAGACCAACAAAACAGACTCAGGCTGATATGTAGCAGTGTGTTTTCCTACAGCTCCATAAAGGTAAAAAAGCCCTCCTTCTGCTCAGTCGTATTGTTCCAACTTTCCTCACCATCACTGAAACAATTGCAAGACCCCTCCTGGCAGAAAAAAAATACTTGACATTTGGAGAGACCATCTGGATGCTGACAGCTCCAAAGAGAAACTGAATTCTATTTATGTTGTTACTTTCCCAAAACGTCTTTTCCTGGCAAATTCCCACCTTCCCCTCAGGAGAAACATCCAGACAGTCAAGACCTCCTGAATCAATCCACTTGAACTAAGGTGCAAATCCCCAGTGGTTATCAGAGGTTCTGCAAGAAAAGCCTTCTAATACAGTTAACAGAGGAAAATATCTAATATTCATCATTATGGCAGGTCATGAAAATGGTTATAGGATGTGGTGGTCTTAAGAACTCCTCCATTTCCAGTACCCCAGTTCTCAGCCCTTGCCTTCTGCAGCACTGAGATGGCATGGCCAGACCAAGCTGTCTCTCACCCCTGAAGGACACAGGGTGACCAGTTCACCCTCAGATCACAGGGCGTGCTATTTTGCACCTATGTGGGGCCTCATGTTGATGACAAAGGAGACACCTTTAACTTATTACTTTGTAAAATTTACTTTTTGAAATCTCTCAAGACAGGAATTAAAATGTTTAGAAAAGATAAATGAACAGCACAGCTGGACTATGCAGAGAAGAGGCTGCTGGCAACCCTTGTTTATATAAAATCAACTCTGTTTACTGGACTGAAGTTTGTTTACTTCTAAAGAGGTTCAGTGAAGACGTCATCAAACGTAATTTGTAGATTTATAAATGCAGAATCTAAAAATCTGCATTTATTTTTAACATTACTCATTTCATGAAGGAGGAATGGGAAAAAGGATGACAGTGAAGCAGCACAGACACATTTAACTGTATGTGACAAGGCACCAAGTGATGAAGTTACTGCTCTGTCCTAACAAACAAAAAGCCACTAGCAATGTTGTAAATATTTTAGCTTCATTTTGAAGCATTAAATCCTGGGTTGCTGACAAAAGCTGTATTGAATAACTCCTATTCCCAGCCTCCAAAAAACCAAGATATACATAAAATGGGAATGAGAGGAAAACCTCAGCTCCAGATGAACTAAGGTTGTTATTTGAACCCATGCAGCAGTTTGCAAGGCAAGTGTGTCTATTAACTCCACTGATTCCTCCCCCACCCTTGCAGCTTTTTTAAACCAAGACCTCTTTGGGGATTATAACTGCATGTGACTATAAGCTTTAGAAGTCACATTTACCCAGGAATCACACTCACATCTGCCAAACTTTGTTTAACCATTCTTTATTCATGTTCTAATAACCTACACGAGCTTTAAGTTCTTAACGGAACCGCCGCTTGCTAGATAAAAATCAGAACTTTGATTAATTGCACTTCTCTTCTTACCAAAGTGCTTGTTTCCCCTAAGTAAATTCCTCTGTGAGAGGCACCACGCAGGCATTCGGCCTGATAATATTCCTGCCAAAAAGGACAGGCAGATGTCCTGTGGTGGGAAATCCCAAAAAAAGCTGAGCTAACTCTATGAGTAGGAAAGCAGCACCCCAAGCTCTTTTGGCTTTGTGCTCTGCATTTACCAGCACAACTTTGGGAGTTACCTTTGTGCTGGTGGGGTCTCAGATAGAGAGTGTGCAAAAGCCACATGCTGGGTGAAAGTCTTGGAAGAGACTCCATGTAAAGAACAAAACAAGTAACGACCATCTCTGAATCTTGGGAAAGCTTATGCCAGAAAGGTTTGTACATATTCTATAAACTGACCACCTTTAATGGCTTAAAACTGGAAGATGGGAGCATTAGGTTGGACATTAGGAGGAAATTCCTCACTATGAGAATATTCCTCCAAGCCCAGAGAAACTGTGGCTGCCCCATCTCTGGAAGCATTCAGATCCAGGCTGGATGGGGCTTGGAGCAACCTAGTCTAGTGTGAGGTGTCTCTGCCCATGCAGGAGGTTGGAACTTAATGATCTTTGAAGGTCCCTTCCAACCCAAGCTTGTGTGAGTCTATGAAACAGCCCCCATCTCAAACCAGACCTCAGCCTTAGGCTGGGGGTCTGGCCAAGGGTTGCTGAAACAAAAAACAAAATTCTGGTCCATGAGGAAGGGGACATTCCAGCACTGACAAGATGTTCACAGAGAGGCTGTCTCCACTTCTCCTGGTGGCAATATTGACCACATTAACATATGGCTACCATGTTCCTTTTGCTATGTGGGGTTTGATCCCAAAGGCACAGGCTGCTGTCTCCACTCTGATTTGTTTTCTGCAGTCCTGTATGGGCAGTTAAAGGTTTACAGGCTTCTCCTCAAGTTCTTACTTCTGAAAGCTGTATTTAAACAGCCCAGGGGAGCAGCTCCCCCTATTCCTGGAGTACAGTACTCTTTAATTACAAGTGCCCTGCAGACTAACTTCCCTTTGCAGATCTGCTCTCACCTCTTCTTCCCTTTCAACCCTCACCCTGGGACATAGAGCTTCAGAAGAGAAAGTGTGAGATTTAGAGATGAGCTGCCTTGATGAAAAAGTATTTCACTACCAGCAGAGAGGGAACTTATCCCAAACTGGCTAATGAAAGTGATTCCTCTACTCCTCCCAGGTACATGCATAGATGACATCTCATGCCATGTTCATCCAGAAACAGTCTCATCCATCTTTTTTTCTCAATCTTGTATATCACAAAAGCTACAAAATACAAAACTATTCATATACCATGGATTATTTTCAGTATTTCAATACACTATTTCCATGGAATCTACACATTTCATCAAAAGCACTTTAAAACCAGGTCTGGTTTTCAGTTCCTCAACACACAGAGGAGTCGTTCAGCTTATTTTTCTCCTTCCCAAAGCACATCTTGATAATTGAGTGTATTCTTAAGACAAACCTCAAAACACCACTTACCTGGAAGAATGGACTGTGTGACTGATTGTGACAACGTAACCAGCCCCTCCAACATCCAAGTAGGGACCAGTAAAGGTAATTAGTCCTGGATTAGCCACTGCATGCAAGTACCTAAGGGCAGCCAAAGGAAACACTCCTCATTAGAGACAAAGGGTCACTGTAAACTTTAAGACCGTATCCATGATTTTGCAGAAACAAGCACTGAAGTCTGCACACTGTGAGCAACCTGCTGTCAAATCAACTTCTTAATATTAATTTCTTAATATTAAACAAGTACCTAAATATGTTAAGAACCAAGACTTGCTCAATAAATGGTTCTTCAGCACATATTCCATTAAAAAAAAGCATGATTTACTTGCACACAGAGTATGCTGAATGCCACCGTAGACATTTTTATCCAGGACAATATATTATTGGTGCCAGTGGTGTCTCAGACTCAAAGCAAACACTGGCAAAATTATTATGTTGCAAACACAGGAGAAAGGACATCCCATGGGTAGGATTCACACGTGAACATCTGGGAAGATGTCAGAAAGTGATTACAAACTAGACTTTTAAAACATACTGTCAACACAACGTGAGCCACAATTATCTCAAATATCTTCCTACTGTTGTAAGAAAGTTTATAAAACATCCCAACTGTTGGAAGGACTTTTGTGTATAAAAAAGTTCTTGCTTTGCTTGCCAGGACACTAACCCACCAGTCTGGGCTGCACTGGGCAAGTGGCTGAATTCTGCTTTACCTCCAGAGTTTTGCTTGCATCTCCTTTCCAAAACACTGCCAGCACTGGGCTTTATATAAACACCAAGACACTCTGTCCTGCTGCATATGGAGGTTTTTTTCAAACCAAGGCTTGAAAACATCAGTGAAGTGTAAAGGGGAAAAAAAAAAATAAAGCCTCAAAAAACTCCCCGAAACAATAATAAAAATAATTTCAGAGCTTTTTCAATGAAAACAAAGGGTTGTAAAAGTCCATTCAGTTCATTCATAACACAAATGCACCTCGTGCATCTCCCTACAAAACAAGAGAGCAAAATTCCATCCTCTTCACTGTCAGCAAAACCAGAAATAACAGCAAAAAGGAAAAAAAACTGGAGCAAAGCTAATCAGTAGTTATGGTAATGATCTTTTTTCAGGGAAAATAGGGGTTGGGAGAGCTACAGCACAGCCAGTGCCAGGAGTAATTCAGAGCATTCCCTGTAGAGCCAGAGGGCTGGGATGCAGTGTTGGCTCCTGCCTTTCCCAGCATGGCTGGGTGGCAGCACCCAGCTGGCTCCTCTCCAAGCACCCACATCCAAACACCCTCCAGAGCTCTCATGTCGCAGGCTCTGATTTGTAATGTATACAAATATTTTTCCAAATCAGATGCTAGTGCATAATTAACAGCACACAGTCGAGCCAGCAAATCCCTCCTCTCAATTAGCAAGGAAATCTGCTGTAAACAAACAAACAAAAGGACTAAAATATTAACGACCAAAAATGGCAGAGGGAGCTGAAAATCCTCCCAAATCAGCTAATCCCTAAAAGGGATGACTCATTTTCTGAATATTTATATTCCCATCTGCCATAGCAGGGAGATGACACAGGAACTATCACTTAAAAGGTTTAGAACCACTCAGGGTTGTAACTAGCAGCATTTAAGCACTGAGCCTCTTACCCACAATGGAAACGTTTCTGGTTAAAGACTTTGTAGCTGGGCACGAGGAACCCTCAGGCTATGAAATCCATACCAAATATTTGTCTCCTTGCCCTCCAAGATTATCCAAAAAGCTTTGATAACAGGAGCCTAAAAACTCACCATTGTCTCCTGGTGGGATCAAATGCTTTGTCCATGAGGGAACCGGGGTAAATTCGGAGCACCCCATTGGGGGTTGCTATGTAACGGCGCACAATGTAGCTGTTGAGGCTGCTCATTTCCATCTGTGTCATCCATTCATCTGTGACGTGACTGGTAGCCATGACTTCATTTCTGACAGAGAACTGCAAAACAAAGGCAGGCCTAGCAGGGCTCCTCCAGGACTTGAATGGAAAGATAATAAGCTGCTCGCGGGGTTTCCTCGAGAGCCATCGCAGATCATCTAAACTCAATTACTTGGTTCAAGTCTTCTCACATCAGATGGATCAGGCACATTCCAAGCAAAGGAAAAGCTTATTATAATGAAATATTGCTGTCATTAGCTCTGGAGCTTTGAGAGTTTGCTTTTTTACTTCAAGTAAATATAAATACTGCCCTGCTCGCACACCAAACAGGCATGTCTCATGTATATGCCTAAGAACACAAAGATATTTCTGCTAAGAATTTACTGTAGTTTTACATTTTCTAGTGGTTATTTCAGTAGCTGCTTATTAACTTTTCTTCCTCCTCCTGGGGAGGAAGCCCCATCTCTTCTCTCTCCTGGGCCTTGAAGCCCATGACCATGACTAAGGGACTGGAACACCAGTCTTATGCAGAAAGGCTGAGAGACAAATCAAATAAAAATCTTCCAGCATGTCACAGCTTGACATCCCCACAACAGTATCTATCAGAATATTCTTCAAATATAATTCAGGAAAACATTAGCTTATCTCCAAAAAACTTGTATTTTCATACCTATTTTAGATCCATCATCTCAAAACAGCCCCCAATCTGGCTACCATCAACTCAGCCAGTGCCAGGAGTAATTCAGAGCATTCCCTGTAGAGCCAGAGGGCTGGGATGCAGTGTTGGCTCCTGCCTTTCCCAGCATGGCTGGGTGGCAGCACCCAGCTGGCTCCTCTCCAAGCACCCACATCCAAACACCCTCCAGAGCTCTCATGTCGCAGGCTCTGATTTGTAATGTATACAAATATTTTTCCAAATCAGATGCTAGTGCATAATTAACAGCACACAGTCGAGCCAGCAAATCCCTCCTCTCAATTAGCAAGGAAATCTGCTGTAAACAAACAAACAAAAGGACTAAAATATTAACGACCAAAAATGGCAGAGGGAGCTGAAAATCCTCCCAAATCAGCTAATCCCTAAAAGGGATGACTCATTTTCTGAATATTTATATTCCCATCTGCCATAGCAGGGAGATGACACAGGAACTATCACTTAAAAGGTTTAGAACCACTCAGGGTTGTAACTAGCAGCATTTAAGCACTGAGCCTCTTACCCACAATGGAAACGTTTCTGGTTAAAGACTTTGTAGCTGGGCACGAGGAACCCTCAGGCTATGAAATCCATACCAAATATTTGTCTCCTTGCCCTCCAAGATTATCCAAAAAGCTTTGATAACAGGAGCCTAAAAACTCACCATTGTCTCCTGGTGGGATCAAATGCTTTGTCCATGAGGGAACCGGGGTAAATTCGGAGCACCCCATTGGGGGTTGCTATGTAACGGCGCACAATGTAGCTGTTGAGGCTGCTCATTTCCATCTGTGTCATCCATTCATCTGTGACGTGACTGGTAGCCATGACTTCATTTCTGACAGAGAACTGCAAAACAAAGGCAGGCCTAGCAGGGCTCCTCCAGGACTTGAATGGAAAGATAATAAGCTGCTCGCGGGGTTTCCTCGAGAGCCATCGCAGATCATCTAAACTCAATTACTTGGTTCAAGTCTTCTCACATCAGATGGATCAGGCACATTCCAAGCAAAGGAAAAGCTTATTATAATGAAATATTGCTGTCATTAGCTCTGGAGCTTTGAGAGTTTGCTTTTTTACTTCAAGTAAATATAAATACTGCCCTGCTCGCACACCAAACAGGCATGTCTCATGTATATGCCTAAGAACACAAAGATATTTCTGCTAAGAATTTACTGTAGTTTTACATTTTCTAGTGGTTATTTCAGTAGCTGCTTATTAACTTTTCTTCCTCCTCCTGGGGAGGAAGCCCCATCTCTTCTCTCTCCTGGGCCTTGAAGCCCATGACCATGACTAAGGGACTGGAACACCAGTCTTATGCAGAAAGGCTGAGAGACCTGGGGCTGTTCAGTTTGGAGAAGAGAAGACTGAGAGGGGATCCCGTTAATGCTTACAAAGGGTGGGTGTCGAGAGGGAAGGGCCAGTCTCCTTTCAGTGGTGCCCTGTGTTAGGACAAAGGGCAATGGACACAGACTAGAGCACAGGAAGTTCCACCTTAATATGAGGAAAAACTACTGTGAGGGTGATGGAGCCCTGGGACAGGCTGCCCAGAAAGGTTGTGCAGTCTCCTTCTCCGGAGACTTTCAAGACCCATATGGATGTGCTTCTGTGTGACCTGCCCTAGGTGATCCTGCTATCGCAGGGGGGTTGGACTTGGTCCCTTCCAACCCCAACTATGATCTATATCTATGATCTCTCCAGGTGTGGGGATACCACTCCAGAGCCCCCTGAGCACCACATTTCAGGTGCTCCCCTCCTGGATGGAGGCATGGGATGTCAAGAGGACAGACCTTGAGGCCAGGGTTGGCAATCAGGCGCGTGTTGTCGCTGAGGTAGGCAGTGTAATGCTCCACCATCCGCTTGGTCTCGGGCTGGCTCAGGTGTTCGTATGGAGAAGAGAAGCTGCCAGCAGAGAGCATGACTGTAGGGCTTTCTAAAAACACCAAAATGAGAGAAAGTTTAGGACAAAGAATTGCACATATTGCCCAGTAAACACATTCAGACCACAAGCAGGTCTCTGCCTGGTCCTCCACTCCCTCACACTGCAGTATGCAAAGCACACGGCTCCTTCAGGTCATGGGTGCACCCTGGGAGGGCAGGAAAGGTGAAGTTTTCCACCCAAACCAGAGCACTGAACCAGCACAACTTGCCTTCCCAGGCACTGACAAAACTTAGGTTGCATGTGAGCTCTCTCTCTGGCTTCAAAATGGAGAAGTCACAAAATTAGTCCATCTACTCTTATCTCCTGGTGTTGTTTGGTGGGCTTCAGTCCCTTGTTCTCATGGTCTGAACAACTTCTGAATAATAACAACAATTATTAGCAACAACATCAACAATAACAATAATTATTGTTGTTATTATTCCTACTTTTTGAAGTATTATAGAGGCTGTTTTCTCTTCAAGTGCTAAAGCAGAAGAAATTAATTGTCCATGTTTAGGCTGAATACAGCAGAGGAAAACTAAATTGAGCACTTCCAGTTGCAGATAATGAAGAACTGGAGAATTACAAGCACAGAATGGGAGCTTCCCAAGAGAAGTGTTGCTGTCTGGAGTGACTTTCAGTAGACAAGAAAGTAAACTTTCCTCATGCAGAAACTGCAATCCCAGACAGCTCTTTCATTTTAAAAAGAAAAATGCTCATGCTGATGCAGGCCTGAAGGCTGAGAATAACACCTTCTCTGAGTATCTGCCCATCGAATCCTATTTCCCCACGTGTAATGGTCTCCAGAGGAAAAATGTCACTGGAATATGTGTTCTGCTTTTATTCACATTCCTCTAAAACACATCACCCTCCCTCCAGCAGCCATGTGTACTGCAGTCATCACTCAGGAACTTCTATTACAGTCCTTCATCTGCTTCCCAGACCAGATATTCTGATGTGATTGCTTTTTGCTTTGCATGGAGTTTTTTATACTTGTCAGCTTAGTACTGCATTTTTTGGATGTTCTCCATTTATATCTTGACTTTCTGGATATAAGTTAATCAAGACTAGGAACCACATTGAAGAAAAAAACCCTATCTTTAAAAAAAAAAAAAAAAAAAAAATAATCGGGAAAGCAATTTCTGTAACTTTGTCAAGTTCCTCGTTAACTCCTCTAGTCTAATCTCACTTAGCTATTTGTGGCACTGAAATTTAGCCAAGCAAATATCACAACTGTGCTGCAAATCCATCATGAGACCTTCAAACCTTGCTACAAACAAAAGCATTTGATTCAAAACTTTGTATAATTCAGCACAGATTTTAGCAAAACCCCCAAGATTCATGTGTAAATAGGAAAGCCTGCAACTTGTGAAGTTTATATAAAAAAATAAATCCATGTTCTTAAGATACATTATGCTTTTTAAGTTCTCTATACTTTCCAGACACTAGAGCTGCTCCAGACACTCCCTCTTTCCAGTATGTTTGAGCCTGAAATGAGTCAGGTAGAGCAGAATCAGTTTAGCTTATCAAAAGTAGGAATGTTTCAGTGACCCAAGAATTTTTAAGCAGGTCAGGAGGGTCTGGAAACCACCACACCACAGGAGTTCTCAGTTTTTCCCCCAGCAGACTTAACTTCTGACTTCACGTGGATCAATGGTATTAAATGCTTAAGGCAATTAATATGCTGCAAAAATCCAAAGTCAAAAAGTACCCCTGCACAACTGGCTGGGACTTCATCCTACTTATGTTATTTGTCAACACAGCCTAGAGAAGAGGACTTAGCTTTGAGCTCTCTCAGTCCCCCAACTCCAGTTTCTGGGACCTTGATGGAGCCAGGCTCAGGGTGCACCGATCTCACACTGTGGTGAGCAAGAACCATGTAAGTGCTCACCATTGAGCAGGGGAGCTGTGACCAACAGAGAGCTCTAGGTAACAGCTGATAAGAAAATCAGCCTTGGAAAGAAAAGCCTCAAGAGGAGAGTATTTCTAGAGCTTTGTGAGAGGACTTTCACTTTCTGCTGCCAGACTCTACAGAAACATGCAGGAGGTGGTCCAGATGAACCACAGGGAAGCTCTACCTAAGGTAGCCAGCTGCTTGAAGTGCAGGCAGGCGTTGGGCTGGCCCAGCAGATCCAGTCGATGATACAGAAGCTTGCTGCTGGGGACAGTGTTGAGGTTCTTCAGCTGTTTAACAGGTACTTCTGGCTGTATCACCACAACACACAGAATAAAGGATGTGTCCTGCACCTGAAAAACATTGGCCAGTCATCAAACAAAGAGAAAGGTGAAGGTGTTATAGAACTTATTTGCTATTTAGCATTCATTCTCTTTCCTGAAATTGCTCATCTTGTCCAGTTCTGGAAGGCAGCACCACTTTTTGCCACACTCAGGGACCACAGTTCCCAGTCTCTGAAAACAGACAATTCCTTTTCAAAGCAGCTAATATGGACATGACTCCACAGAAAACAGAGAAGGACTATGCAGATAAAATTGTCAAGCCCTGTCATTCTCCATGCAGGGTAGAGACACTTGTCTTCAGTGCTCTGATTACTGGAACTCAGTCCCATACAGCCACATGCCAGTCTGCAACCAGCCAGGATCTATCAGAGCCACAAAACCCCTACTTTTCCACAGTCTGTGCACAAAACAAAAATATTGTTTTCAGGGAAAAAGATTTCATTAAGACCTTTATTTTGTTGCTCAATTAGCAACAATTTCTAACACTGCTTTGCAGGTACCTTCTGCAGTGTCATTAGCAGGTTCTCAGTTAATAAAAACACCCTGGTGTTCCATTTGTGAAGAACACAGAGAAATTAACTCTCAAAAATAAGACTTCATTATTACCATTCTTGATTGTGTGCTGCATGTGTCACATGCTTTACTGATTTGTACATTTTATGTATCCTATAGTACATCAGACTAGCTAACCATGAGTTGCCCAGCTGCTCTGCAAAGGTGTTTGATACTTAATGTAGCATTACAACACTAGAAAATTAGCTCCAGATACCCTCCCCTATGTGAATTCCTGTTACACAATGACAGATTAAATATCCTTAAACTGCTCAGCTTCATCTTTTAAGTTGGATTTAACTTAATACACTGAAATGATCCACAAGTACCTTCTTGAATTTTTTGGCACAAAAAAGTAGGCAATTATTTCTGGCATCAGTGAAATTCACCTGCATTGTATTTAACTTTACATTCCATTTTGATCCCTGGTTAGTGTACAGATATAAAAGTTACACTGAAGAAAGGAAGACAGCTGCTAAAAGCTCTCTTAAAGCTCTTACAACTGGTAATACAGCCTGTACTCAGTTTCACTGAAAGCTTCAATTTGACTAATGTTTGTAAGGAAAGTGTTAAATTACAGCAAACATCATTACTGGGTACTGATCCAGTTCAGAAACAAGACAGTATCAGAATAAGAAGCTGACATTTTCCCAATTGTATTAATTAATGGCTCATACTACTCTGTCCCAAACATAACAAGAGTATTAAGCAAAAGAATTACTAAACACTGCCTCAGCACCAGATGCAAACATGGTCTCTGGTAGGGATTTGTGTGTTAGCATGAGATCCAGACCAGTATAGATTTACTTCCATTAGGGAAGTATGAGGTTGATAACCTCCATGTGACTGTACATCACATTTGCCTCACACTTCGGTATAGAGCAATGCTTCATGCTTCACTAAATTCAATACATTAAGGCACTCTTCAGTATCTGAACTCACTCAATGCCATCCTGCCATAGTGCCACTTCTACTCCTTACCATTTTCCAGGCATAGCTGACATTGTAGGCTTCTTTTCCAACCTCTCTCAGTTTGTTTACATGCCAAGACAGTGAAGAGTTCACAGGAACCGTAATGATCTGGCTGCCCAGGGGGATGCTGGATTGGCAAATAAAACATGCAGCTTTTTACTAAACACTGAGAGAGCTCCCAAGCAAAACCCAAAACATCTTAGGTGAACAAAAACTGTACATATGCTGAAAAGGCATGTTTTGAGTTAAAACATTCAGATAACAGAAAGGCCAAAGAAAAAGCCAGACCAAATAATGGAAAATCTTGACATGGAGGAGAGACATTAGAAAGAGTATCCCCCAGATCAGCTGTGGAAACTGCTGCTTAGCAAACCAGGGGATAAATGAAGGAAATTGGAAGAAAAACCAATCCAGAACTGGTCTACATTTGGGGGGGGTGGGGGGAGGGGAATCCATCTGAGTATACAGAATGGAGAAGGAAATTTACCCTAAATTGTCTTCAAAATCCTCTAGAAATACTTTGAGGGGCCTGATGTTTGAACCTGCAACTCAGATTCCTTACCTGAGGATATTCTGGCGCACCAGCTCAAACTTTGGGATGTTCTCATAATGGATAATATCTGTGTGGAGCGGCGGTTCAGACAGCAGGTAGGGCCTGGTAAGGGAGGGGTGCATCAGAGTGTACCCTAAAACAACAGACACAAACCAACACCATAAATGCACTGCCACAGCTGAGCACGTGCTCAATAATGCTGGAAATACAAGTAATACATCCAGTAACCACACAGAGTTCGTGAAACGGCTTTAACAAGAGGAAGTGAACAAGCAGTATTATCAAAGTTGCAAACTAAGAATTTGTTAAGTTGCAAATTAAAAGAATGAAGCAATAAGAGGCTGGGATCACAGGAAAGGAGCTGAACACAAACACACACCAGCTTTGCCCTTTGCCCCACACAAAGAAAACCCCTATCATGAATCCACCTACAGTCTCGGGCAACTCTCAGGCAAAAGTAACCAAACAAACATCTTTACAATAAATGTTATCATTCATTACTTATAGACTATTTAGAGACATGTGAATTGTGAGTTTCCTTTTGATGGTTTATGATCTCAGTGGGACTAAAAGGGATGATCTGAGCCAAAAAGTTACCTTTGTTATCAATGAGGAAAGTGTAGGAACCCAAAGAGTCTTGATAATAGGTGACATCTTCCAAGATATATGCAAGATTAACATCTACTCCAACAATCCCTAGCAGCAGGTTTCCAAAGTAACATGGTTTACTGACAGTCATTATCAGGCCTTAGAATAAGAGAAATAACATAAAGCCATCAGCAATCACATTCATTTAATTATTTTTAGTGGAAACAAAGCATTCACTTTATCATTTTATACAGTTAAATTATATCTTGCATTCCTGCCTGAGATATGGACAGAGCTGGGCACACCTGCAGGGAAGCTGAGCAGGTTCTCTGTCCTGCCTGGCTGTTGTTAGCCACTCTCCTTAATGAGTTAATTTTGTGTTTCTGATAATGACCTGGGCACATTAATTCAATGTATTAAAAAACAGAAGTACTGTCCTGGGGTTTCTGTCAGTCTACAAGAGGATGCCTTACAGATAAGAAATGGATTTGCATGAAAAGTCAAGACAGTATTTTGTCCCTTGAACATCATTTAAGGCAAGTTAAAAAATTGGGGAGGAGGAAGAGAATTTGCACCTGTGAAGCAACAACAGGGAGGAATTATTGCTCATCTAATTGCATATGCAGAATATTAAACCTCCACTCCTTAATTAAATTCTAGTGTGATCACTGTACCAGGAATCATACCCATAATTACCCACTGGTTTGGGATGTAGCTTGTGCCCGAGGTAAAAACTTTTGGTAATACTTCCTTTTTCCTACTTTCTACACCACTGTGATTTGGAAACTCCATGACTCTCCCTCCAAACCAATATAAAGTTCATTTGCACACAGAAGCTTTGAAGTACACTTTGAAATTTATGCAAGACAAATCTCTATTGCACAATTTCTAATCCTTCTGTTGCTTAGATTTTCCATTAAGCTGGGATATGGGTTTCTGAGAGAGACAGAACACAGCTCACTTAGCCAGGTGAGGAAAGGCAGCAAGTGGTGAGCGTTCTGACTCAGAGGGGTTTGCTCAGGAATAGTCTTAAACTTGCTTTGGGTCTCAATACACAAAGCAAATGTGCAAGCTGAGCTCAGCAGCCCTTGAAAACTATTCAGCACAACCCTCAACTATTCCTGCATACCAGCAGATACTAAAAATATGCTAAGTCTTGAATGAAGTAGTACAGAATTTGCTCAATTTTCAAAGCACTATGAAGTCACTAATCCCAGACTGGTTTGGGTTGGAAGGGACCTCAAAGATCATCTAGATCCAACCCCCCTGCATGGGCAGGGACACCTCCCACTAGACCAGGTTGCTCCAAGCCCCATCCAACCTGACCCTGAACACTTCCAGGGATGGAGCAGCCACAGCTTCCCTGGGCAACCTGGGCCAGGCTCTCACCACCCTCACACTGAAGAATTTCCTCCTCATGTCTCACCTGTATCTCCCCTCTTCCAGATTTAATCCATTCCTCCTTGTCCTCTTACTACAAGCCCTTGTCCCAAGTCCCTCTCCAGCTTTCCTGGAGCCCCTTCAGGCACTGGAAGGTGCTATGAGGTCTCCCTGGAGCCTTCTCTTCTTCAGGCTGAACACCCTCATGTCTCTCAGACAGTCTCCAGAGCTGAGCTGCTCTATCCCTCTAAGCATCTTCATGGCCTCCTCTAGACTCTATCCAGGAGCTCCAAGTCCTTTTTATGTTTGGGGCTGTATGTATTTCCTAACATCACTGTGATGTCCCATCTCTTTAAGAGCACTGGAACAATGCTAGAAAAATGCTGGGTGAGCTGCCCCAGAGCTAGAGGGGTAAACCCAAAGCCTCCATCAGTCTCAACACCTTCAGCCTCTCCCCTGCTGGATGTAGCAGTGAGATCAGATCAAGTTCAACACATGGTAATCATTAATGTAGCCATTAATTTTAAGCTAAAAGGGCAAATCCATGCACCTTCCCACCACATCAGCATAAATTAGAAACTGATGGGAGAAGCAGACTGCAGACATCTGCTGCATTAAGATATTCTTCAGGATAGATTCACAGTCTGGAAAAACTGTCAACAGGCTTCCACTAAATGGAGTGTATCTCTTGCTCCAGGCTGTCTGGGCCAGCATGAGCCAGCTCAGGCTTCCTCTTCTGCCCAGGGCTGGGGGTTAACCAAGGCTGCTGGAGTTAAAGGAAAGCTAAGGATAGCAAATTTTGGATAATGATTAATAATGTGTTAACTAATAAGCTCTTGCAGAGGTCTGACTGCCAGCATCCACATCCTCATCTTCACAGCCCAGCAGCAGGAACGGACGCTGAACCAGCTGTGATGAGCCATTGTTTGGGTTCAAGGACAGAAAAAAAGAGTACTCCAGCAGCAAAGATGATTCCTGCATGGCTCCACAAGAAAGGGAGACTCAAACGATGAGAACTTTTTCTCTCTTCCACTGTAAGGACTTATGCAATCCCCTGAGCCTACCTGTAAGACCTCAAGACATAGAGAAGTACTGAAATCACAAACTGCAATGGTGCAGCATGGCCACAGCTCTCATTTCACCATGACAAGACTGCTCCCCTCAAGTACAAAGAATTTATCTCCATAAATTAAATTATGGATGCTGTATACGTACTCACACATAAGAACAAATTTCACCCCTAAGAATCCAGCCTAAATCTATCTGCTCCATGTCCTATTACCACTTTTTTCATAACTAGACCTTCTGCAGATAAAAAACCTACTGGCATGAAAGGCTGAATTTACATTTGCCTTGGGAACACACCTGAAACCATCATCTCATAAAACTACAGCATATTTGAGAACATGCAAATACAGGGAACCTAACCTGCTATGTTTTTATACCTCAGCTCAGTGCAGGCACTTACCATCTCCCATTTCATCCGAGAAGGGCAGGCTGAAGACCGCCTCGTCGATCATTCTGTTGGGGAGGTTTGTGTAGAACCTGCCCACAGTGGTTTCCAGGTTACTCAGCTGGTTGAGGACCATCATGCTGCCCTTGGTGACAGGCAGGGCTGCTCGGTCTGGCACCCCGTACTTCACCGAGTTCTGCTCTGCCAGGTCCCGCAGAAAGGCCAGTTCCTTCAGACCTGTCACTCCCTCTGCAACAGATGTGAGGAACAGAAAGAAGGAGATAGAAGCAGCTTCATTTCCATCAAGACTTCTGCATCTTACTCCTAAGTACTGTAAGTAAAAGCAAAATGACACACATACTACGCTACTGGCTGAATATACTATTTAAGTGATAAGGTAAAGTGATGAAAGATGAGTATGGCTTTAGGAAAGGTAATTAGCTAGTGCAAAAATTAGTAAGATTGCCTCACATACTGTTGCATGGTACAGAAATTCAACATACTGTTCACATCAGCACTTTAAACAAAGCTCTTTTAGCAAAGACTTATGTGACCCATAAATCCACAGGACAGCTCTTTGTTCTCCACTGGTGGTTAGTCCACATCAAGGACCAGGAGCCTATTACACACCCTTGGAGATAACAGGCTTTGTTCTTTAGCTTAAACATTAAAGTTTCACATCTTACTTAAGTCCCAGGCTCAATTCCTGCAGATAAATCACAGGCTTTTGTACATATTAGGTCTCAAATGAGTATTTAAATTTACAGTCAAATGATACATCAGGTGAAGCACTGGTTTCCTTGGCTGGAGTCCCTGTGCAATTTTTAGTAATATGAGACACAACCTCCTTACTGAAAATGCCTTGTTGGAAGAAGCACAGAATGCCAAGCTGCTGTGTGTGTGATCTCTGTATTTAACCCCATTCTTAAGTTGGGTCCTAAGTTATCAAAGCACTTCAGATGATGTTTGATGTTACATTCATGCTCCTGAATGACAAAGACAGAATCATGCACACTCTTCCTCTGGCTGCAGCAGGAAACACGAGCAGTGTCAGGAAGGTTTCCAGTTGCAATAGTTAAAAATTTAACAGTCTGGTTGCCACTAGACAATTTAGGCAACAACACTTTATATCCTGAGCAGCTGCACTGTAGATAGATCAGCACCTAGATTGTGACACACAGTTTTACACACCAAAATGTAACATCTGGGTGCAGCCTCTAGATTACAGAGGCCAGAACCCATTAACAAACTGCTTCCAACGAGGCATGGAATTGCATTTGGATGAGCTTAATCAAGTAGCTGTACAATGAAAGTGGATTTCCCTCCACTGGAAACACAAAAACATTGCTCACCATTCATAAGTGCATAAGTGAGAATCATGACTGAGTTATTGAGGAGAGTATTTTCTTCATTGATGACACGGAGAGTAGCTTTTTTATCATCTTCTGAGGAATCTTTGGATGTAATCCCAGCCGAGAGATAAATGATGACCATATCGGTATCTAAAAAGAATTATGTATTTACAGCAGAAAGTGTATTAGATTTTTAACTCAGGAAAGGACTGTGGTAAGAAAAGTCCTTATTGAATCACAGAATCATCAAGGTTGGAAAACACCTTCAAGATCATCAAGTCCAACCATCCACTCTACCACCCCTAACCACTAAACCATCTCCTGAAAACACTTCTACTCGTTTTTTAACACCTCCAGAGACAGTGTCCCCACCACCTCCCTGGGCAGCACATTCCAATGCCTCACCAGTCTGCTTACAACCATATTCTGCCACCAGCTTCATCTGCAGGATCCACAGAACCACAGACTGGTTTGGGTTGGAAGGTGCCTTAAAGCTCATCTAGATCCAACAGGGACTAGACCCTCCCATTAGACCAGGTTGATCAAAGCCCCATGGAACCTACAACTGCAGCCCTAAGAATTACAGTATTTGTTATTTAACAAACATCAAAGTCACCCAAAAATCATAAAATGGTTTGGGTTGGAAGGGACCTTAAAGATCATCTAGTTCCAACCCCCTGCCATGGGCAGGGGCACTTCCCACTAGACCAGGTATCTCCAAGCCCCATCCAACCTGCCCTTGAAACTGACCTGGCCAGGGATGGGGCTTCCACACCTTCTCAAGACATGTCAGCAGAAGGATGCTGTAGGATGAAAAGCACCCAACAACTCCCTACAGTGGAGGTTCAAGCATCACGCTTGGGCGACGTGACCCAGCACCCCCTCCTTTTGTGTGAAGCCCAACATGTTTTTCAAGCTGAGTGTGTTCTCAGTGAAAAGCCAGCCTCAAAGCCTTGGAATGTGTAAATTCAAATCATCACCTACACACCATCCTGTTTCATCATGTTGGATCTCAGTATTAGAAGTATTTCATGCATATCATTAAGACACACGTGAGGCTCATACCCCACCAAGCAACCTGAAGCACACGAGGTTGGTTGGTAACACACTAACTTTGTTGTCCCATCAGATTGTTTTGTGGGGTTTTTGTGTTTTTTTAAAAATAGGCATGAATGCTTTGCCTTGTACATTTTGTCATCTTGACTTGAAAAGTATTTCAGCCAGAATTGGCTTTTGATAAAAATAAGTCAAGAGGAGCTGCTAATTCTGGGGTAAATTTCTGCCTTTTTTCTTTTTTTCAGGAGCTAAAACTAGAAAAAAAAGCAAAGCCAGGTACCAATACAGTTTGGGCTGTAGTTTAAGGAAAACTGTTCATGTGTTTCCTGTAATAACTGTGACATGCTGCAGCCAGAAATGATGCTGCAGCCTAAAACCTTTGCTAGCAGGAATTACATGAGATAGTCCTAAGGTTGCATCAGGGTCCAGTGCTGAACAGGGCATCTTAAAATTAGGGAAGGGATCTCTGAAGATCATTGAGTCCAAGCCCCCTGTTGCAGCACAAACACCCAGAGCAGATCACAATGAAATGTGTCCAGATGAGTCTTGGAAGTCTCCAGAAGACTCCACAACCTCTCTTCTTGTTCAATAGCTGATCATCCCATGCTGTTTGATGGTGTGTGTGTAAAATACACACATCCACTACAGTTTTTAATATACACACAAACCCTGCCTATTATCCAGAGTCTTTCCAGGGAATGGTGGTACTCAGAGCATTTTCTTCCACTTTGGGATGAGGTTCTGCTGAGCAGGACTGCAACAGGAACCAGCACAGGGCAGGAAATTCAGACGTGTTCAAGGGCACAATTTTTCCATCTCATACCAGTAGTTCCCTTCTAACTTTCCCAGTGCAAATTCAGGAGCAAGGCTGTATCTCAACAGCTTCCCTGACACACCCACACATTGTTCTCCAGGAACAGGATGTTAGAAAATTAACAGTGAAATGAATGAATTCTTTTTTCTAGGTTTATTTTTCTTTTTTAAAAAGATGAAAAGATTATTTACATGAAAATGAGCCATGTTTTATAAACATCCTCTTCTCAAACCTATTGAGTCTCACCCTATCAATGGTGCAATTTGCTAAACACACATTAGGTTCTTCAAAATCTTCCACACTTAGATAAAACCTTAATCCAAAGCACATGCCTTGTGCCCCAAAATAATGGTGTGGTATGTAAGTTAGTAAAAGTATGTGTTTTCACATTCAGGAAGAAGATGCCCAAACCTTCTAATTCTAACATACAAAGAGGGCCAAACATGAAAGATGTGTAGGATGCTGCAAGACAAGCTGATGTTCCTGGAATAAGTACTGATGACCAACATATCTCCCAGTCAGCAGTGCTGGATTTTATTTCTTTTTTTCACCTTCTTCTGTTCTGAGCTGGTGCCCTTCAGGACAACAAAGAATTGGCACCCACTGGCACAAGCACAGGGCCAAGCTATGGGATCTGTGTTACAGAAATTAATGACACCACCAGAGATGGGGCTGCCTCTGCACCCTGCCATGGCACTGGCCATGTTACCTGACTCCAACAAGCACTCAGTTTGAAGAATTTGCTTTCCATGGCTCCCTGGCAAGCTAACGTGCCACTCCATTTTACATCCACATTTTTGACATCTTTCACCACATCCTCATTACAAAAACCACACAAACCTCCCCCAGTCTTGGGAACAGGAAGGAGAAATCCCATAAGGCATACACCAAAAATCAGGAGGGTATTCTTAGATAAAGAAACATTTAGTCAGGCCAACCTCACATTCTACAGAATATCATCTATAATCAAAAACTCTTTTCCCTGAGAACCAAGGGCCACTTCCAAAGGATTTCAGTTGGGCAGGTCACCTGTACACAAGTGTTTTAGCAGTAAGTCAATCAACCTGCCACTAGCAATTCTGATTAAAAGGACCCCTGCCCCACACATTTGGGAAATAACTCAGTTATCAGGCAATTCAATCCTGCCATTTCATGTCATCAAAGTCAACAAGTGAAATAAATTAAAAGGACATGGCCACATTCAACAGTCTCTCATGCAGACTCCAGATCAAGTAAATACTACTTAATTAAAATGTGCTTTTATTGTGTGTTGCTGTTTTTTTCTTAATATTCAAGACACTACACTCCTCCAGCCTCTGCCAAAGCAAGAATGTCAACTAAAAACATTTGCAAACCTCCGAGATAATCAGGATTGCACAAGAGGGGACTTACTTCCTTGGAGTTTTGTGCCATTGTTGGTGTTCCGTATCAGCTGGAAAGCCTTCTGAAAGCCCATCGCGTGCTGCGTGGGGCTGTCGGATGACTTGATGCTGCTGACAAAGGTGGACATCTTCCTCTTTGTCTCACTAGTGGCAGGAGACAGAAATGTCTTATAGCACTGATCCAGAGAGCAGGTTCTTACTGCGTCTGCCACGGTTAACACGGAGATCTTGAAAGAGAAGAAACTATATTGGATTACCTTCCCATTTGTAATTCTGGTGTAGAAAGCACAATGATAAGCCAACTGAAGAGGTTCCCTGGATTTAGAATTCAATTGTTAAAAAAAAATAAATGCTTGAGGCATAAAACCATCACATTTGAAAAGGATTAGACTTATAGTGATTTTAAGAAAAAGAGACTTCAGCCTTTGTTTCCCAGATGAGTCAGCTTCACTCTGCTCCTCCATAATAGTTAATACACTGTCCTGGGCAGAACTAGGGATAACTGAAAACAGAATGAGCAGGGAGCATTTTCAGGACAGATTTGAGTGCCTGTGGAAAAGCTGAATGCACAACAAAATGAAAAAAACAAAACACTAAAAAGCCCTCTAAGAACTTTTTACAGGCAAAGCACGATGTTGTTTTAACATTTCAGTCAAATCAAGCCAAATCTACCATCAGTTTTTATCCTGTAAGTACCTTACGGCATTTAAGTGGCAATACTTGCATTAATATACACATAACACACCAGTCTTATTAAATGAGTGGTGTACTTCATTATTAATTACAACTGATGCAAGACAGACTTAAAATTAAGCAGTAATTATATATCCATATAGCAGGCTATATAACCACCAAGCTACTAACCAAGGAATATGTCTTAAATGTATTTTCTTCATTATAGGTCTTCATTAAGACAAATACTTTTGACACTTAAATTTCAGTGCTATTAATTCTGCTGAACTATAACCATTATTTCACAGTATTAAAACTCTCTAAAAGCACAGAAGTTAGAAGTGTGTTTCCCACACTACTAATGAGAAGTAGGCAAAGATCAGAATCAGTTGTTCTTCAAATTCATTTGACTGAAACTCTCTATTAAAACAAAACAAACCCCAGCAGTAAGAATTGTCAAGGTCCTACTATCAGAGACTTACTGAAAGTAAAGACCAAATTGAGGACTGTTTGTGATCCTCCAGAGGTACCTTATGGACCCCTGGTTTTAATCCCTACTTAAATAAAATCCAGATTTCTCAGACCTTTGCTTTAGCCTTTCCTTGTTGGTATCATGACTGTCTGGGAATCTTCCAGACACTAATTATGCTCCAGCAGAATAAATAATTTCCATTTTCATAAACAAAACAGTCATCCTCAGAGGTAAAATGGGTTGCTCAAAGCAATCTAGTACTTCAGAAGCACTAAAGAGCATCACCTGAGTATTCATGCTCAGAGCATGGTTCTCCTAATTGCACACTGTATCACACTTCAGACCATCACCCAATGTCTTCACCAAGACGAACAACACTTTAAAGATTACTCAGAAACAGGATTTTGCCTTAGATCAGTGGGTTTCACTTTTTTTTTTAAGCCTGTGGATCCCCAAATGGGGGTTTCAAAAAATTACTTCACGTCTTCATCACCCCATAGAGGTAGAGCACAGATCCTTAAGAGGCCTTGGACCACAAGTTAAAAACACCACTTTGGATTAAAACTAGAAACACTGAGCATGTTTGACACCAATGAGAAGATGCTGATTGCTTGGGGAAAGCTCACCTTGTCATGTTCATCTATAGAGCTCAGAATGACCTGGGCAGCATCTTTGGCAATCTGAAGCTGTGTCTCTGTGACCGAAGCCCCGTGGTCCACAATGACAACGATGTGCTTGGACTGAGGTCGAACAGTAGAAACATAGACAGGCCTGAAGGAGAACAAAACCCAAACCACTGGCATGAGTCATCTTGCCATTTCCACTAAAACATGTACAAGTGAAAATGGTTGAGGATGAAAAGCAAAAACACCCCAGGAAGGAACAACCCATTTTAACAGGAATTTTGGCCTTTATGCAAACTTCTACTAGGAAAGATGAGCTGAGAATGTGGACATACAGGAAAAGCCCTTGCTTTCACTCTCATGGTTTGTTTTTTTTAACTAAAATCAGGTGTCAGATCCTTCTCCCTCTGTCACAGCAACCACTTTCAGCTAGGATTACACCATTTTGCTGAGGCAGCAGCAGTGTTTGAGATTACTGTTAGCAGCACCTCTCATCGAGTTTTGGATTGAGTGTTGTTAAGCAGGAAATGCCTCATGATAGAAGTTGGGTGCCAGGAACTTTACTCACATGTAAAAGTGCAATGGTGGGTAGTTGTGGTTAGGTGACAAGCGAAAACTTGTGCAGAGATGCATTAGCATAGGGTGTTCAGCTCAATGTAATAAGGGAAGGCTTCTGGCCAAGAAAGGGTTTTCTCTTGGTGCCTTGGAATGGTTTTCATGGAGGCTGTGCTCCACAACCCTTTGGGTCTACACAATTTCAAACCTTTTGGTCAATCCAAGTTAAACCTGGTAAAGGCTCTTGGTGCTGCTATGTGTCTGCCTGTGCCAACACCAAACCCTTTGTTTTCAGTGAAGCAGTGCTCAGATCCAGCTCAGTCCTGTGAGAGGGGTGGCAAAGACTTCCCAAGCTCTCACACCAAGGTGCCAACCTGGAACATTTTAGGAAGAACTTCAGCAAGAAGGAAGAATTAAAAAAAGACAGGACCCTCTCTCCCTCTTTAGCCCAGGCTCAAAACTAGTTAAGAGTCAAGAGTGAGTTTTGGAATCTAAATTTTATTATAGCCATGGAAATCTTATTAAGAATAAAGGAAATGCAGATGATTTCAGACAAGGCGCTGCAATGAACAACTGGCCCAAATCAGTTCATAACTGTAAAACAGCCTCCAGCTCTACACTGGTATTACCTAGAACTTAAATCAGGCCTTTGATCTTCAAAGCACTGACATATTAACTAAGGCATCCAAAGTACCCTCTGAAATAAATAATAACAAAAAGATATCCCTTATTTAGCCATAGAGAAACTGCAACCAACACTCAGTGATATGGATGGAATCACAAATGGTTTGTGACAAAATCAGGATCCCAGCTGGGGTGCCCCTGGCTCCCATGCCTTCAGACTGCATCTTTCCAAGACCACAGAAATCTTCATCAAGCCCAGACACTTGAAGCTTTGATGACACACAGAAGATAACATCTGTAAACACTTGATTGCTCAACAGGGACAGGTAACCAAAACACTTGTTAAGTCTCTGTGCTCTCAGCTATGTAGACATGTAGCTGGGCGTACTTACTCTGCATAGATTGATTAACTGGTACAATTGGCTAATGTGTGAGCAGAGATACTAAAGCCACTGCACTTTCTAAGAAGACTCCACCTTTGACTCTTGACCAGTCCCATAATATTGACAGCAAAGGCTAGGAAAAAGTACTGCACTGCAACTCCTCTGCTTCATGCCTTCAGAACTGGAACATTCCCCTGCAAGGGAAAACCATGGCACCACTTGATCCTTTTTTCTAGTTTGCTTGGCAGAAACATGAAGTTTCCATTATTGCTGCATCCCTTGAATGCACCACTTGAACCTTGGGTGGATATTGGAAAACTGCTCCTACCTATGCCCCTTCCAGTCTCTCATCCTTCCACCCCTCTCATGATGCTCTTGCCAAATCAGTAGAATGCATGTTCATACTTCAGTAATGAGGGTCAAGTATAAGTCAAACACTGGACAAATTTTGCTCATGGGCTGACCTACAATTTACAAGTTACTGCTCTTTACAGCTAATTTAACTTGGGAGAGGTGAGGAACCTGTATGTCATTTTATTTTACTTCCAAGTTTCTTAAAAGCAAAGACAGGTGCTTTAAAAAAACAAACCAAATCAAACCCAAGGGACCCCATTAAAAACTACTCAGGAACGTTGCTGTTGTCTTGGCAAACAAAAATGCTGAAAGGAAATCAGCACTCAAGGAATCCAACTGAAGTGCTTGGCCCACTAAATCACAAGTAGACAAATCACACGAGACAAGTCATACCTGCTGCGGTGTTCATAGCTGCCTTTGCACCGGAATTTGTGGGCTGGGAACACAGTGAAAATGCCTTCTTCTGAGCTGAAATACTGCCACTTAATTCCTGGGTTAGACTTCAGATTATCAGCAAGAACTGAAGGTTGGAGAGGAAAAATGAGAAACAAAGCAGAATTACCAAGGGAGCTCAAACTTGGGAGGTACGTTCATTTGAGGCCTCTCTCATGGGTGCTCGGAGAAGAATAACCCGGGTCCCAACATCCACAAGCAGCTCTATTTGAGGACTGAAAGAGCATCAGGTCTAATATGTAAACAGTTAAAGGCTTTTGGAAATTTTACACTGCACTTGACAGATTTTGTTTAATACGTGATAATAATTCCTGAAACTCTGAAGAGTAACTGGGGCCCAAGAAGCCAAGGCAGGAGCAAGGAAGGGGTTAAGGCAATTATATATGACAGGTATACATCCCTACATTTACATGCAATGATCAACACATTGTTCACAGGAGGTCTGCATTAAAAAAATCCTAATGTTAAAAAGGACTGTGTTCTTTAGACTGAGATAACACCAAAATATTTAATAGTTTTGCTGCTTACAGCTCTGTAACCCAATCTGTTCATGTTGTCTCTGCTGATATGTTTCAAAATGTTGACATGAACACTTAAAAATAGTTTCAGATGCAAATGCAGGTAGTGGGAAAAGTCATCATACAGAAATAGTTGGAAAGGTTAAAAAATAGAGAATCTTCCCTCATTGTTGTGCTCTCCTGTTTGTGCACAGATAGAGATACAGCTCCCACTCTTGGGACTCAAGAATTTATCCCAGTTTCTCATTATCCCTGTGCCATAATTAATAAGGCTGTGGGCCCATAACGTGTTGCTTTTATAGGACAAATAGCTGCTTTCCAGGGAAGATTCATCACCTTCCCTCAAAGGGTTATGCAGTGGTCACGTTCTCCAAGCACCACCTGGCAGGTGGTAGCTCCATGCTGGTTCCACCACCCTCACCATAGTCATCACCACCAGGTTCTTGTTTTCAAGATCATAAAACTCAGAAAGAATGATAATACCAGTCCTTAGTAGCTATAGCACAACTTTGCTCCAGGTCTGTCAAACTCCTCTCTGGCAGGTGATCATCAGTTACACATTGCAGGGACAAAAAGTGAAGAAAAAAGAAGGTAAATGACATGTTCCCAAGTTGTGTAGTCGAGCAGGAACCAGGGTCATAACATAACCACAGGGTACAGATCTCCTGTAGTTCATAGACTACATGAATTCTCTAAAATGTACTTGCTTTCCTATTAAAGTAATATTTATGGAAATACTACCCAACATTAAGAGTAATTCAAAATCTATAGCTTAGCAATATTAACAGACTGTCTCCACCAGTCAAAACACAAAATACCACCAAAATCAGCAACCAAATAAAGCACCTACCCCACGGGCTGAGACCATCTGCACTCATAAAGGGATTTAACACAGCAAGTTAAACCAGTGTGTGGATACTGTGGAAATCCTGAGCACCCAGAGCCCCGGTGGGGACAGTCGTGTTAGAATCACCCCAGGCAGAGGTGGCATTGGGATTTTTCCTCTCACAGTGTGATGGAAATTTTCTTGTCATCTCTCCTGTCATGTTCTTTGATTAAGCCTTGCCAGAGCTGGCAGAGGGCAGCTCTGATTTAAGTGCTTCACCTTTGCTCAGCATTTATTGTTGCCATTTCCCTTCAGAGCAACATTGAAAACAGGCCAGGTAGCTTCATCTCCCACATCTCAGTCATTATCAAACACCCCAGGTTGGAAATCACTGCAAGGCACATTTCAAACCTTAGCCAGACATTCTGTGACAAAATACTCAGGCCAAGCACAGGGTAAGTTCAACATCCTCAACAGTTTAGCACCTTCTCAAGTTTCCCAGGCTGGCTGCAGCCACAATGTTCTCTCCACGTTCAGCTCAGCAGAATCACCCTGTAAAAACCACTACCTTAGGGTTTTTATTCCCTCCTTTTTGCCACAGTTGTTTGGATTCCCACAGTGTCTCCAAATCCCTGAGGAAGCCCTGGTTGCCCCATGCTGGACTTGGTACAAAGATGCAGCTTTGCACAACTGTGGCTTGAAGAATTTAGTGCCTTTATGGACAAGGAGGAGGAGGAGGGAGGAAGAAACAAGACATGAAATGGCTGACAAGGGTTTTCCCAGTGCATTAATGACTAAGCCAGGAACCAGAACAACACTCTGCTCACACCTCTCACCTTCTCATCCTCCAAAAAACACCAGTTCAACCACAGGAAGGAAGTCAAATCTCCTTTCTTCCTCTCCCCTGTGCTTAGGTGAAACCAACCTGGTTGGTGACACTCTTAGGAGCAGAAAATCTCTTTCTCAGGAATGTTCACACTTTCAAAGAAAGATCTTGCAACCAGAAGTCAAACAAATTTGCAAATATTGTTTGTTTCACTCAACTTTCCCCTAAATTTCTTTTTAAACCTTGTTTTGGTTTTCCACCTGATACGATACCACTTCAGCAGCATCAGTTCTGGCCTGTACAAAGAGAAGGTTTCTTTGGCCAAGGACAACAGTGTCTGTGTAGCAGGGACATAAAGCAACATGAAAGCTTGATATTGCCAAATTTAGGCACCACTGAAAACTATTTGGTTTTTAATTAAAACTGATTTTTGCCCAAACCTAACCCACACAGAGTTTCTAGCCTTTACAGCCAGGACTACCAGAAACTCTTCTCCTCATCTTTCCCCAAAGCACCCATCCTCTTCTCCTCTCTGGGAAGATTCAGGTTAATTTCTGACCTCACTGAGGGTTTGGCAGCCTGACCCTTCAGAAAAGATGCAGTATCAATGCTCACAGCCCACACAAGCTCTCCAGCATGGGAGCACATTGCATGGCCATAGCTGTCGGAATCCAGGAGAGTATCTGATAACCCTTTATCAAGATGCAAAGAAAAGCCTGGGAAAAAAAATCTTTTAAAAGTATCAAAACCTTGAAAGAAGAAAAAAAAAAAAAAGACCAGAGAGAAAATGATAACTATTTTCAAGTATTTTTTTAAAACATCCACTCTCTTTCAGCAGCATATGACAGTCAACATCATCCATTTTACAGTAATATAAACAACTTAGAAAAAAGCTAATACTGTTACACTTTGGTATAAAAAGAGCCAAAGTCCAGGCTGACCTGTCCCTTCACTTCATTGCACAGGCAGGGAGGCAGGAGAGTATCAAACATTTCAATTCTCCTTTTTAGGCCTAGCCACCAGGATGTCACAGTTCTGGGGATGAAGTATGGCCATTGACTTGAGCAAATAGGCAGAATTTCTAGTACTTAAGTTTTTGTAATGGGTTACAGAACTTTCAATGTATTTTCAAATCAGACACACGAACACTCAGTTAAAGCTTGGATGACATAACTTGTCCAGTTTAATTTCACAAACAACACTAAAATAAGGAGTTCACAATTAAAAGGGATTGCTTTTTAATCATTGCTATGTTCAAGATAAACTTATTCACACAAAGCCATGATTTGAATCTCTTTCCCCACGAGAGTATCTGGATTTAAAAGTGTCCATTTTTCCCATAAAACAAGTGGTTTTCAACCTCAGACAAATTTCTTACAGCCTCAGTGCCTCTCTCTACTGTTCCTCCTTTCTCACAAACTTCTGTTCATGTTTTCCCTCAGCTGGTATGTTAGTTCAATAAAGCTTTCCCCAGAGCCTACCAATTTTATCCTAACTTTCCTTTTTCTCTTTTTCCTATGACCACAGTAGCCAATCTCTCAGCAGTTAAACCATGGCTGAAAAAACCCCACACTTTCTCTCTTTAAGTGCCTTTCTATTTTCCATCTACTGAAGCAGTAAGAATGCCCTGCAGATATTTCCTCAGGTCTTGGTCCTTGCCAGGACAGCCAGTAGATGCTCTTTTTCAGCCTAACCTCACTTACCCCAAACATTCCACTCCCCAGCTGCTTGCCTGTACTTTACTCTCACCTCCTCTGGGCAGGTTACACAATCAGAAGACCAACAAACAACATATTTGGGTGAGTTTTCTATCTAGTTTATAGCTAAAGAGTAAATTTGTCAAAATTCCACCCTTGGAAGCACTAACAGAAATGTGTGCAGGGCATCTCACTGCTATTCACTTTCTAGGCATCTGTATGGTTGATGATGGCCTGTGGTTCCTATTTTAACTGAAAAGCAATTTACTTTTCATTTTATGGACAGGTTCAAGTCATTTTTGTAAGGACAAGAAAGTATCTATCTCCCTGTTCTAGCAGAAGGACAAGGTGCTTGGCATTACTGAGCACATGGAAAGATTCTGCTTTTTTAAAATCAACATCAGTGCTAAATACCCAGCCTAGATATCATGCTACTTGCAGGAGGACAAGAGTCCAAGTCTTAGAAAGTCCAGTATCTGAAGGAGCTACAGGAAAGCTGGGGAGAGACTTTTGCCAAGGGCTTGTAGCAAGAGGAGAAGGAGTAATGGATTAAACCTGGAAGAGGGGAGATTAGGTTGGACATTAGGAAGAAATTCTTAAGTGTGAGCATGGTGAGAGCCTGGCCCAGGCTGCCCAGGGAAGCTGTGGCTGCCCCATCCCTGGCAGTGTTGAAGGGCAGGTTGGATGGGGCTTGGAGCAGCCTGGGCTGGTGGGAGGTATCCCTGCCCATGGCAGGGGTTGGGACTAGATGATCTTTAAAGTCCTTCCAACCCAAACCACTCTATGATTCTATGATAAAGGCAGAAATCTTAGTGGTATTCCTTAATTCTAGAAAGAAACTGAGGATATAAATGGCCAACAGGGAGCTGCCCGTGAGCTGGCATTGCCAAGTCACTCCAAAACCTCTGTCCCCTCCACTCTCTGACCCCAAATTCTGCTGCAGACAGAAAAAGTTGGAAAGTATTAACATGAGAGTATTTGAAATTATCGTTCTCTTTAATTATAACTATCTCACAAAGCAAAAAGGACTTTTAGAAAGAAAGCCCAATGTGATAGTTTATAAAACTTCAAAGGGAATGAGATATGATAACATTTAGCACTTCTAGATACCACTTTACATCTTCAAAGCATAGTCAAATCATTAACTAATTAATCTTCAAAGAACAGCACAGTCAGTGAGAAAAAAAAAAAAAAGGAATTGCTCATTATAAAGGAGTTTCTTACAGTTCTCTTCTTTATCACCGTATTTATTGAGCTGCAGACCTCACAGTTCTCACCCAGCAAAAAAAGGAAAGTTGAATTTTCTGTGCAACACACTGCAGCTCCTCTCTGACAAGGACCTCCATGAAAAATAATCATCATGAAGATCCTTCAGTGCTCCCCAGACACAACAGCAGAAAGTGAAGGGGTTCATTTTACAAGTAAAGCCATCCTCTAACTCTCCAGACCTGCAAATCTGATCCAGGATTTTCTGAGTCTAACTGTATCCTGGCTCATGTGTTTTCACCAGAAATACAAGGCTCTGCAGCTTGAACTCAATTAAAATTCTGCTGATGGCACGAGCCAGGAGGAGCCTGGCTCTTTTGGGAGCTCTTTTGACTCTGAAGGGCAAAGAATTCTAACACCTCTCATTTTAAGGAACAAGCCCAGCTTCTTTGACTAAAAGCACTTGGAGGGGGGGTATTGGCTCATCTGCTCAATTACTTCCCAATTATTTTAAGTCACCTGAGCCACCAGTTTAAAGGAGAGCAATGTGAGAAACATGACCAGACACTCTGCATTTTCATTTATAAGGCTCAGACATTATTTATTGAGCAACCTGGTACCATCTCTGCACTTGCTGGGTAAGAGCACTCTGCTAAAACTGCCTGATTTGAACGAGATATTTTGGAACTCCAAAGGATGAGAAGGAAAAAGATTTACTGGTTACTTGTTTATTCAAAAAGAAAAAAACCCAAAGGAATCTGGTAACATGATGCACTGGCAGGGAAGATTTTGTTGTCTAATAAACAACAGACTATTCATACCAGTGAGGACTAATCTCTCCATCTAACTAACCAAAGCCTGGGACTCCATCTGAAGAATAAAGACTCTCTCCTTATCTGTTCTGTAGGAATGGCTAAAAGTAATCCAGATGGAAAACTCAGGCCAAGAGAGAACAAAGACACTAAAAAAAAGTCACCTAATATCAAGAAAAAAAGTGGCTAAAGTATTATTGGTAAGAGTTGAGAAGAGAGAGATGTACATCCATTTGTTTCTTCTTCCTTTCCCCAAGATTAATGCTTTCTTCTTATGTTACAAAGCATCCACCAGAAAACTGCAAAATAAAAAAATTCTTTCTTTTGGGAAGTCTGATGAGGCATTTTGCCCTTCTGAACACACTGCTCAGACCAGAAGCTGAGGTTGCTGCCTGCACTGAGGGCTCTCCCAGGCTCTGCTCCTGTGGCTTGCCCGGAGCCTGCGGTGCAAATTCCATTCCCTTCCAACACCTACAGCTTCACCACTCTGCTCCCACTTTCTTATGCTGGGCACAGAGCAGGCCAAGATTAATATTTCAAGAATGGAGATGGAGGCTGAACAGAGCAGAGTTTAAATTTATGTTTTGCTGAGAGCGTTTTAGAGGCTGGATTACTTAAACTGCAAAATGCATGTGGGAAAAGAGAGATACTCAGGGGAATTATATTTTTTTACACTAAGAATGAAATTGTTGAGCCATTTCAGAAGACAATCTGGTTGATGGACAGGCTGGGCTGGTTTTGGAAACTGAGGAAATCAGAGAAGAGTATGGATGCTCCTGCTTCTGGGCTGGAGGAGCAGAGGGCTTTCAAACCCTTCCTTTAGAAGGCTGATGCACTCAAAGTCCTCCCCATCATGCTGCAACCAGTGAGGACATTTGCAAGAGAAGTAAGAATGATATAAGATTAGAGAACCTTTCTTCTTGTTTGATCTTTATCATCCTTCAGAGGTGGTTTTACTTTAACAAATACACAGAGATGCATTCAGAAACAGCTCCTGTGCAGACAGATTGCTCTGTCCTCTAAGGCAAGCAGTTCCACTGAACTAGGTCACTGAAGAAAGAAGAATAACTGAGTTTCATGGGACAGATGACACTGAGTAAGTACTTCTAAGGACCATTTCTAACCTGGCACCACCTTCACAGCTGCAAGGATGCCAGTGCACTGACAGCACTCTGCCTTTCCGACCAAAGCTGCTTCCTGGTCTGTTTATATCCCTGGTCTGTCTGAAACCAACTATTGTCTTAGAACACCAGTTCCTTTGGGCAGAAACTGCTTTTCTGGCATAACAGGTTATGGCCCATGACTATGTAAGTCAGAGCTACAGATACCACCACCATGGAACAAACACCCAGCCTCCTGCCCCCAGTCCTTCCCACATCCAGTTTATTCCCAAAAACAAGTACTTCTGCTTTGGATGTGGGCAGTGCCCAGCTTCACACCAGCATTATTCAGCTCAACCTTCCTGGCAGCAACCCTTCCCTGAAGCCATAGCAGGCTCCTGGTCTGTGGTCAGGGTGGTGGAGCTCATGTGGTGTAGATGTTCTCAGTTGAGGACCAGGAAGGGAAGGTGAGAATCGTCATCTCACAAACTTTCCAACACCTCTGCACAAAGAGGTGAGGACTAAGGGCATTCCTTGTGGCTCATCTACAGATGACTTCTTGTTTCACTAGATGTGTACCTAGTATCAACTTTTGTTTCTCAAATAAGCCCATTTCCATTTCATCTTTTCTGCATAAATCCAGTCTTCCCATATCACTTATCTTACAGACTTTTTCTCACTACTCAAAAAACTCCCCCAAAGGCAGAGAGCTGCTAACAGCAACGCTGGGGGAGCGTCTGCTGTCAATAAATCCTGAATCATCTCCCTGTTCTTACTATCACTCCAAATCCCTCTTCTCTTCTGCTGCCCTTTCCTGCCAATGCCGTTTTCTGAAGATTCTCCTTCCATCAGGAAGCTTTCAAGCCAGGGGCCAGGGAAGAGGAGGCACTCAAGGCTGGCAAGCCAGGACAGCAAGAAGCTTGAAAAGACACCTCCTGTTTCTGAGAGCTCAAACCAGAAATTTAAAATGTATTTAAAAGAATTATGCCTTATTTGTTTTCCACCTCTCAAGAAGGAGGAATATTTCTTTAACACTTTTTTATTTACATCTTTTGCAGTAGAAGAAGTAAAGAACAGTTTAAGAATAGTTTTTCTACTTAAATGAGAAACACTGATTCATTCAATGGTTTGCGTTTATAATAGTACCCAAAAACTTGCCTTCTAAAATTATTTAAATTAATCAACAATTGCATCTGACTTTAAACATATTACTAAGTTGTTTGTTTGGGTTTTATAATAAAGAGATAGGTTATGAGTAAAACAAAGCCCAGCAAATCATAGGAAGTGAACAAAGACTGCCTGTCTTTAGGATGGAAAACACTGCACAAATTATGGTGATGAGACATGTCAGGAAATCAGCTTGTCTGGCCAGCACCTGCTTTCAAGATGTGGTGGATGGGCTGGAAAGCAACCTATAGGGACTGGTCCTTTAGCTTTTAGTTTTTCCTTTAAAAGGCAGTAATGAACCAGAAACAATGCCAGGCTGTAAGAAGGGAGACACTAAGAGAGGCTAGACAGAAATTTGGGGTTCATCCATCCTATCTGTTCTAAGATATGCAAATGCTGTGTGCATGGTGAGGGTGGAAGGGTGTGTCTGCCACTTCATCAGGCAGGTGAAATAAATCACTATTTTATTCCAAAAGACACATGATAATTAAAAAAACATGCTCTGAAGTCTGCATCACCAGTAAAAAAAAAACCCAAAAAGCAAAATGCCCCAAAACTTAAATGAAATCTGTAGCATTCTCTGACTTACAGCACTAAGGCATCTTAAAAAGCTGAAAAGCATGACAGAGCTGCTAGGCAAAATTAAGACTGAAAAACCCTGCTGTGTTGGAGGACCAAAAGCAGAATCATTCAGGGATAAGTCTTCAATGTTTTGGCTCTCAGCATATTTCTAGCTCTTTAAGTGCATCAAGCAAATCCACAGACCGTCAAGATGGAAATGCCCTGACATGACAAAGAAAGGAAGCATTTTAGGGTGTCCTTCTGATAGTTTTTGCAAACACAGCCTCACATTAGCTGAACTCAACTGAGAAGATCAGAGAAAACTTCTTCGCTTGGCCCCTGCAGCAGCTGACACTCTGCATGGCAAAGCAGTCAGCAAGGGGAAGGGAAGCATCTTGGGGAAAAAAATAAGGGAAAAACCCCAAAAAGGCAGAAACCACAACAAAATGATCCATGGTGAGCTGGAATCAGATCTTCCTGACATTTTTATAAAGTACTTAGCATAAGGACATTACTTCAGGTATCATTTTTCAATCATGAAATCTCAAATTAAGAGCAGTGTGACAGTTTAAAGGGGCAAGAAAACCTTGTTGCTATGGCAATCAATGCTAATTCTCTGTGCCAAAGAAATGTTGAAGTCTAATGGGAGGATAAAAAACCCCTAGAACAGAAGAAAACTAGACTGCTTACCAGAATTTAAGTCACGTCCAGGATTGAAGGCTCTGCTGTTGACTGTGGTGGACAGTCTATCACAGCTAATAGTTCTTGAAACGTTGGTGTTAAAATTTCCATCAAATCTGAAATGACAACAACAGCATTAGCAATCTAACATCATCTATTAAATCCACCAGCACTTATACATCTTTTTGCAGGCTGAATAGAAAATAATTATTCTGAAAACTCCAGCCCAAAACTGGGGGGGAGGAAGGGGGAAGAGGGAGGATATATATACTCATCATGGCTGGATTGCATCTGCTCTCTACAATGACCCATTGCATTTCCCCTCCCAAGATATTCCTTGGAAGATAAGATCACAGGAGAGAGTGTGCTCTTTCATCTAGATGTAAAGAGCAGAGGTTCCAGCCTGGGAAATCTGCATGGCATCCAGTCATGCCATTAGAAAGTCCCTCTTCCTGTTGCTGAACCAAGCTCTTACCTCTGGAGACTCTCACCACTACTATTATTTCATCTTTCACTTTAAAAAAAATTACCCCAAGCACCCTGCACGAAGAGGATTTCCCCCCCTTGTGTCTTTACAAAAAAAGATCTAACAGAGCAATCGTAAACCTGCTTTCTGTCTCCAAACTTGAGGATTTTACATTCCAAATAGCAGAAGGAACTTGACAGTCTGAAGTTCTGTTACATTTTGGTTAGGTTAAATACTTCAAATACACTTGTAAGCCCAATTCAAAAAGTATTCTGGTATGTAGTTCCAATGAACACGAAATAATTAAACCAAAGCCTTAACAAAATTCAAATAAAATGGGTTTTACAGGGTTATAAATAACTGGAAACTCTTCTGAAGCTTTTGAGGACTTAAATGCACTTTTGTGTCATTGACATAAGACAATTTTATTTTTTAACATTTTTGTGACCTTGAATATTTTGGTGACTTAGGAGCCTTTCTGGCTTAACAATGGATAGGAAACAAGACTTGGAGAGGAACTGGGCAGGGTAGTGTTTTTTTTTTACACACTAAAATAGGTGCACATATAAACACACTCACCTGTATATGCTCCCCCACAGCAGAGGCCCTAAATATTACAAGCAAAAGTGGTACAAAAAACAAGCACCATTTTTCTAGTTGAAGATTTGAATTAGGAAATAGAAATCCCTCAAGTTGCAAGGACTTCAACAAATATGGTGCCCAGTAGGAATGGCAAGACACCAACTTTCTGGTTCTTTCCTTACAGAATGCTTGCTCAAAGGGCTGGGAGACACAGACAATGAAACAATGCACTTCCAAACCATCCCCTTAAAACAACAATTATCAGGAACAAAAACCAAAGACAGATGGAATTGGTTACCATTAGAAAATTTCAAGTTCTGACCACAGGAAGCAAGGCTTTTTAAGCAAACTAAAACTCTCCTAATCCAATATATTATCTTCCAGCCCAATTCAAATTAATTTCATCCTACAGGGAGGTAGCTGGGGCAGCCCCAAGTCAGCCAGATGCAGGATTTGCTGAGAGCCTCCATCTCTGCTTCAGGGGTGCTCACACATGGGATATAGGAGAACCTTCTATGACTTGGAAGAGATAGGTGAAAACCCACTAAGGAAAAGAAAGAACACTTGATAGTAGGCCTAAGATCACCACTTCTGCAGGTGACTGGGTCCACTTCCAGAAATCTGAGCGTTACAAAACCAGCCCAATGCTCCTGAGAGGAGCACTGGAGCTCACTGGGAGCAGCAATGCTGTTGCATGCACAGGCTGTGAGTTTTCCTTTCTTCATGATTCACACCAGTATGACCATATGTAAGGTTGGACTGATTTATTTTTTCTAAAAGCAGAGATGTAACTCTTCCTATGAGTGAAGACTGGAGCACAGCCTGCTCCCAAGTTTAGAAATTTTCCTTTTGAGTATGGAAGGCATTTCCTGAGGACTTACTATTAAAAGTCCTTAATGATTTTCTGAACTACAAGTAAGTAAAACAGCCTTTCATGCAAACAAAACCTCAGACACTGAATTCTTTGGTCTTAACATCAGATTAAATCTTAGGATTCTTGTGGAGGCACAAGAAATCCCATTTTACATCACCAGAGCTCATCAGACCAGAGGCTCTATTTGAAGATGCTCTAATCAAACTAAATTTTGAGTTATTCATTACTAACTGCTTCATAGAATCATGGTATGGTTTGGGTTGGAAGGGACCTTAAAGATCATCTAGTTCCAACCCTTCTGCATGGGCAGGGACACCTCCTGCAAGATCAGGTTGCTCAAGGCCCCAAATTTTAATAACCTTATTTTAATATCTTCACTGCCATGTAGAAATACCAATAAAAACAAGGTCTCCTTAAGCTGGAATGCTTAAAAATTTGTTTAATCTACATCCATAAACACTACATGCATTTTAAACTAACTGCATTATTCTTAAAGGAGACTAATGAGACTTCTGGTGAGCAGTTAGAGTTACTGAGGCAGCAGCAATTTTTGATCCCTTCTCTAACCTTGACTTAAGGAAAAACAAAAAAGGAATCATGGGTATTTTGGAACAATGAATTGTCCTCCAGACACGTTAGCAGAGCCCACCACCATCATGTTCTAAGACCAAGAAGGGATGAAATGGCAGACACTAGAAACAGCAAAACACTGATGGTGTGGAGATTTGAATGGGCTCAGCCACTCTGCAGGGAGTTGCTTGTTGAAACTGTTTGCAACCTGCTCTCTGGCAACTCCTCAAAGCCCTCTCCATTGAGGAAAAGACGTTTCACAGGAACACAGCTCTCAGATCAAGGCTGTGGCTTTTCCTATTCCCATTAAAATGTAACCACTTCAAAAAATTACAGATCCTTAACCAAGCAAGCAAAAATACTGTTGATTTTTTGTTGGCTGAAGAATCTCCAGAAGAAGATGGATGATAAAGGATGGGTTTCACAAAAAGCATGTTTATCTTCAGGCAAAACCAGATGGAATAGGGCTAGAGACAGCAAATTAAATATCTCCATGCTAAAGAAATATTTCCAAGGAATACTAAAGAAGAAACTCTTCAGGAAAGATAATGACTTTTCAGGATGTTAGCTAATTATCCCACTGCTCCCATCAGAATCTATTTGTGATGGCAACAGGATACCTTGTGAGCAGCTACCATTATTCAAGTCTCACAACACGGGCAGTAAATGCTGGAGTTCCAATTCAAAATCCTCTGGAGGCTTCCTCTCGATTTTATTTGATGCCTAAAGTCACTGCTCACAGCCACTCCAAGTGACATGTGCATCCTGACACATAGTCCTCACGCTACCCAAACTACCTGTTTGCAACTACCCAGGGGAGCAGTTGTATCTATCCAGATGCACCACAGTGAGTACTTTGCTGCACCACTTCTTCACATGCTCTGAGCTGCCAAACTGAATTTCAGGTCTCTCGGTTATGATGGATGTTAACCTGGGGCTTCAGGCAGATCAACACCAGGTACAATTCTGGCAGGTCTTCTAAGACGGCCAAAATGAAGCCATCACCCTCAACTGCCCCACCACAGGTGCTCCTGCAGCCCCAAACCCATCACCAGAGGCCAAGGGGATCAGCTCTCCACACCTTCTTTCCATTGCACTTTTAACTGGAGCATGTCGATGCAGTTCAATGCAAGAAATCAAAAATGTCCCTCAAGTTTTCTCAGTAAGCATGTATTATGTTACCCATCAGGCAAATTATGGCACAAATGCTTAAATAATCTGCATCAGAGCTTGAAAAAGAAAGCAACAGATTTCTGCAGCCCAGCCCATCCCCCTCCCTTTCTCTTGCTAGAGCAGCCAAGGAGTGAAACGACAGTTAATGGAAAAATGATAGAAATAAAACATACAGAAGAACTGGCTTGAACCCCATGAAATAAAGGGCAACCCTCAGACTGAACTGTTATCCTAGAGCAAGGACTGCTCCAGACTGAGCTATGTGGAATGTCCACCTCAAATCTCTTTTCAGGTGCAGTTTATCTTAAAACTGTTTGTGCCTTGCAAGGGAGGGTATTTTAAAAGCACAGCTGGCTCCATGACACAAGGACACCGCAAATGTAGGTCTTCAGAAAACCCAAGACAATTAACATTGCAATATTTACAATAGTTTTAATTAAAGTGAAGAATGTTCCATGGGTTTCTTTGAAATGCCTTTCAACTAAGAATGAGCTGTTAAACTATCTGGCAATCTTCCCTATTAAAGCAAGAATTAAAACTAAAGCCTCAACACAGTGTGCCCATGCGGCACTGTCATTAACCACTTCTATTCCTGGCTGCAACTAGTGATTTTGCCTTTTCTAGGATGTATTTATACTTCTGATGATTCCCACACAAATTCCAAACTGTACAAATCTTCCCATCACTTGCTTCAGAAGCAGTTAAAAAGCCAAAAGCTTTAAGATTTGTAGAGAAGCACTGATCACCCACCCCTTTCTCTGCACAAAGGAGACTTAAGTTTCACCAGTGTCCCCCACTTTGGCCAGCAGCCAGACTATGATGTGGGTGATAACAGCAAAGGCTGACTGAGGTCTCCTCTGAGGTGTGGCCCAGAATGTTCTAGGTGGCAACACCACAGCCAACAGATAGGAAGTCCTCCAAAACCCTTCCCAGAAAAAACACACCAAAACCTGTATTTAGATGTCATTCGTTTTTTTTGTACTTACTCCCAGGAAAGCAAAAGACATTGGCTGACACGCAGTTTGAAGACAGGCCCCCTCACCCCATTCCCCTTTCCCTGCCTCTCTGAAAAGCCCTTCCTTCTGGATTCCCTTTAATGAACAACCGATCGAAAGTGCATCCCGAGGGAGCCAACAGAGCCACAACTCCCACTTTGATCTCTTCCCCACGGAGAAGCGCGCTCCCTGCCTGGCTTGCAAGATGTTCCCTTGATTGACGTTGGCTCTGATGTGCAAACTGCTTTGAACTTCAGACATTAAATTCCCATCAGGCTGCACTCATTTTTATTCTCCTTCAACAGGATTTACAAGCAGGAGATCAGCAAGTGTAGAAGATAAAATAAATCTGCAGCAGCTTTGAATCTTACATCAAAACAGTGCTCAAGTGAGCTCCAATTGGATTTTGCTCGGCCTGAATTTACAGGCTAAATCAACCTCTTTTGTACAGTTTCA